ATGGCACGTCACGTGATCCCAGGCCCCGCCTTGGATCAGCGACCTTCCATCGCGGCTATCCCGATGGTCTTCCTTCCTGCGGCCTGCATAACAAAAGGAAGCAACTCCTTGTTACCTTGTAACATTATCGCCACCAGAGCTTTTGCCTCTGCAGCAGCCTATGGTTTTGGATGGCAAGTGTCAGCAGATAGAGGAGTCACGGAATTCTACAAACGATCTTGTACGTGAGAGCTGGCCGGGCTACCTCAGTTATAGGGGCGATCGTAAGTGTAGTGACTAGCTTGTACGAACTCAAAGGCTAACCGGAATGAAGCCTACTTGAGAGGTTCCGTTTTCCACAAGTCTCGATACAACGAACACGAAGGACTCGACCCAAGACACGCGTTCAATTTCGCCGAGAACATGCTTAATGGGGTTCTAGCCAATATCACCATGTCTGCTATATCACTCGGCACCTGGTGGGACATGGTGCCCGTAACAAGTACAAGATACAGCAACACATACACACTTAGTCATCCGCTCAACCTCGTCCTTCCATACAGTATCTGCCTAGCCGCAGCAAGCGTCTTCGTCATCATCTCGATTTGGTCCTTGTGGCGTAATCGCGCGCCTGCAGCCGATGGTGGCTTCCTTCAAATCATGTTAGCGACCGTGGGGAACACGGAGTTGAGTCGAATCATGCTTGAAGAAGGCGTAGCTGCGGTCGATGATATGTCAGATGAGCTGAAAAGCTCAAAGATCAGATACGGAGAGCTGGTCTATGAGGACGAATTGGGGAAAAAAGGCAAACGATATGGATTTGGGACATCGGATGAGATCATTTCGCTGGGAAGAGAAGATGAACATGTTTGAAGTACCTAGGTATAAGATTCTGAGCGTTTCATACAGCACTCGAAAAGTCTCGGAGACGATACGGAGCCTTCACCGTCCCTACATCGCGAGTACAGCAGATCCGACATGTTCAAATATAACTGAAGTTCCAAGACGCGACAAACACGTATACCATGAGTGCGACGTGGACTGTTACCCTTCTCGTGTTACTCTTGCTGTATCTTGCCGCCCTGTCAAACCCGCTTCGCTTCCATTCTCGTTCCGTCACATCTCAAACCCTCAACTAGCCATCCACGAACTTACGAACGGGATGATCGCCGCTGCCCCGAAATGCGGCAACGCAAACCCCATCCCGGCATGCTTCATCGTGACCAGCCCATCCACGACTCCATCCACCGCCAACATCGTCGCCATCAGTGAGACAGCTCTCACGTCCCCTCGCTGCAAGAAGATTGCTGCGATGATACCAAAGGTGAGATTGCGACCACCCACGCATTGAACGAAACCGGATGCGAATGAGTCGGCTGGAACGGGCATGCCAAAACCGGCAGCGAATGTGGTGGGTGCGAGCAGAGCGAATAGACCAGTGGATAATAGGAAGCCTGTTACCCCGTAGTTGGCGAGAAGCTTGAGTTGTGTGGACATGTTGAGTGGGTTTGCAAAGTATTCGTTATTGCTGTTGTGGATGGTACCAATCTTGAGACATATGATAGCGCGCCAGAAACTCCCGCAAAAGCTCGATGAATCAGAAGACAGAATTTAAATGATGGATGACGGACTCTTCTAAGAGGAGGGCAGCCGCGTTGAGGTAGGTACCATCGGGTAAGCAATTTGGACGTGACGTCATGACGTTCGTTCCTTTGCCGGGTCATCTCTTCTCCGACATCCCAATTATTACTCTCAACGAATGTCCACCTTGGTTCAGTCAGCCTCCAGGCGGTTATCGACGGATACAATGCCCTATGGTGACGGAAAGTGGATGCCAATGCTAGCTAAACGATCGATTACCTGTTGGCAGCGGGAGAGCCGAGACGCGCAGTAAGTCTTCTTGTGTTTGAAGACCTTCATGGCTGTCAAGAACGTGAAGAAGGTAGAGGCGGGTCCATATAGCTTCAATTCCGGTTGCAGGAAGTAGGGCATGCTATCACAGATCTTCTCCGCCAGAATCGAGACCGGATTTTCGTCTTCATCGCTTGCAGAGTCGGAACGCCGAAGGACCGCTTTGACGTTGCAACCTTTGATCTCGGCCATCGACTCTTCAATGTCATCCAGATGTTGTCTTGCGACGATCTCGAAAGCCCAACAATGAGTCAGGCTGCTAGCAACCAGAACATTGGCGAACCACAGCGGCTTCCTATCTGAGGACTCTGCGTCTGGAGAATCGGGCTTAGGCCAGACCAGAGAGAATTTGGCCTGCGCTTTGGATGAGAGCTCCCAATCTTTGAGGCTTTTGATCATGTACAAAAAGTCATCCCGTAGTCGTTGCATCGCGATCACATTGGATGGGATGGAGCGATCTCCCAGACTGTCGAATCTTTCCAGAAGAGCGGGAAGTTGGGTAGCTTTGTTAAGGAGCAGTTGCATGATCGATATGGGTACTGCTTCGAAGGGTGTGGTAACCCAGCCGTCTTGAGAAAGAAATGTCTTTCGTCGGTTGTGGATTGAACTGATCAGCTAGAAACTTGATCAACTGACTGTTCTTGCGACATGAGATTGCGATGACTTACCAGGAGAGGCCGGAAGCCAACGAAGAGCGTGTGCAGGATACCAGTGCTGAACGGTTTCGGTCCGAGCCGCTCGATCATGGCTCCGACACCCTTTGCATGCGTCGCCCAATCGGATCTTGCTTGTGGTATTACAATCTAGTCTAGTCAATGCTGTGAAATGCACAGGTCAGCGTATGTTGGAGACTTACGTTCGTTGCTGATAGGCATAATATTGCGACACAATGTTCATGCCGGAAGACACCCTGGGCTTCTTCGAGCGCTTTGCCCACCCGGCGAAGAGAGTCACCGTACATCAGAAGTATGCGAGATTCGTTTCCTCTGGTTGCGGATGCACGGTTCCTCAAGGCTGTTGCCATCGTCCTGATTGCGGAATAGAGGAATGGGCTGTTCTTTGCAGGCTCAACGACAAGCGGAAGCATCTCGACCCAGGCACCACATATCTGGTTGTGATACAAGTTGAACTCCGCGGGCGCCTGGCTACATATGGGCGCAAAATGTTGGACAATAAAATCCACATCATCTTCGAGCTCGTTTGGACTTGCTTCTGGAGGAGTGGTCGTTTCGTCAAACAAGTTTGATAACGCACACAAAGCTGGGTGACTGCTTTTCAGTATGTAGGCACCGAATACCCCTCTGTTGTCAACGTGTGTTTCTTTACATCCGGCCTTGAAAGCTGTCTGGGGTTTGGTTGGATGTGTCATTGCATTGATGAAAACAATTTCCTGTTCGTAACCACTACACGGGATCCGCCGGCGAATACATTGGAGGCATTCTGGCTGTTTCCCATCACACTTATAAATCTCGAGGGTCAGTATGCCAGCATGCAAGGTACCCATTAGTTGTTGGCGGCGGGAACTTACAGCAAGCTTCCGAGATCTGCAATTCTGGCATACATCCTTTCTTTTAGCCCTCATTATCGGCCTGTTCTAGCATAAAGCGATATTGTGATTGGACTACGCAAGGTACGCTAGGAGGTTTTCACCAGACGAAGAGAAATTAGATGGTGAGAGCGGTTGAGATCTAAGAGTGGGTAGAGTAATAGCCAGATAAGGAATGTTCTCTCGCCAAGGCTCTAACATGCGTTGCTTATGAGAAATAGGGCCGACTATTTGCTTCCCACTCCGCACGTCTAGATGCTTCAGCTAGCATAGCGCGGTGTCTTCAACGCGCCAAGGCGAAAGAAGTTTCCTCAATGAGACTAGGTTAGGTACCAAACATTTATGCATGAGGAAGAGCGGTGATACTAGCAGGGTAGGGCTTCTTACAAACTACACACAGTATGAGACTCAAGAGGTAGTATTTCCAAGCTCCTTACGATATCCGTAGTCTAGTTCGATCTAGGGTAGTATCTAGGAAGAGGAGTTAGGACTCACGGTCAATGGACAACGAGCGCACCGAGTGGCGATGGCCAGGAGATATATAAGTTCAGCAGCTCCTCCAAGATGATTCCCGTCAAGCACTACACCTTCTGCCTCCAGATCTAAAGCATTCAAACCACTACCAACCCTCCAATAATCACCGTCAACATGACTACCCGATATGCCTCCGCTCATCAATCGCCTAACGGCCCTGGTGATCAACGCCCTACTGCCGACCAGATCGTCAAGGACGAAGAACTCAAGAGCAAATGGTCGGACAAGACAGTTCTCATCACCGGTTGCTCTTCTGGGCTGGGTATCGAGACTGCCAAATCTTTGTATGAGACCGATGCTACCCTCTTTCTCACAGCCCGCGACTTCAACAAAGCAAAGATGGCACTCGGAAGCCTGGTGGAAAGCGAGCGTGTCCACCTCCTAGAGCTGGATCTCAACTCTCTGGCCAGCGTACGCAAGTGTGCCGACACATTCCTGGCTCAGCATGATCGTCTCAACGTCCTCATTGCAAACGCTGGTATAATGGCATGCCCAGAAGGACGCACCGAAGACGGCTTTGAAACCCAGTTTGGCACAAACCATCTTGCTCACTTCCTTTTAATCCAGCTTCTTCTTCCCACTCTAGTCAAGTCGAGCACGTCAGACTCGAAGTCGAGGGTTGTTGTACTTGCATCCACCGGCCATCGCATGGGCGGCATCCATCTGGATAACCTCAACCTCGTGGGAGAATACCACCCTTGGTCAGCCTACGGCCAGAGCAAGACATCCAACATCTACTGTGCGACCGAACTCAACCGTCGATACGCAAGCCAAGGTGTAAACGCATGGTCGGTTCATCCTGGTCTGATCTTCACTGGTCTCATGACGCACATCGACAAGGATACGATGGAGGCATGGGATAAGGACCCTAACATCGGCAAAGCGCTCAAAAGCCCGCAGCAAGGTGCTGCAACCACAGTCTGGGCAGCTACTGCAAAGGCTTTGGAAGGTCAAAGCGGGAAGTACCTCGAGGATTGCCAGATTTCTAGTGTAGTCAACGCCAATCCCGCGTCGAATGAGCCTGGTTATGCGCCTCATGCGTATGATGAAGAGAAGGAGAGGGCTTTGTGGGAGAAGTCTTTGGAGCTGGTGAAGCCTTTCATGGCTTAGAGAATTGGTTCTTGATTCTATCTGCATTAGATGACCCATCTTATTAAATTCAGAAACTACACTCCTTTAGCAAATCGCATATCTTATGTTGCTCGAAAGGATCGCACTTCAGCCTCTACTCATGTAGGAATACCCTTTCTTTCGCCAACTCTGTATCATAAAGGTCACTCTCGAGTCGAGACACGGGTTAAGAGTAGGTGTGTATCACAGCAAGTTTTTATTTCTTACGCATGTTTATTGCCTGCGCATTGGTGCACGTAAGGTTGGCAGAATATGGCGCTGAAGTCACGGAATTGCGCCGGTATGTTCGGTCACGGCGCCTGCGCGGGGTTTGGACTGCCCGATGTGACGGGCAGAGTACTCCTGAAGAATTACTTCATCTGAAATCGCTCGCGACAATTCTCGTCATATGTCTGGGTCGTTAGAGATCATGTGAAAGAAAGTCATGTCGTGAGTGATTGAGTTCTGCACGGCAATGACGAGTGGGGAGCGCGGGCGGCAGATGAGCGGTGGACCCCAGCGAAGCCACCGCCGAAGCTGTCGGTCCGCGCTTCTAGCCTCTGCGTCCCCAACACTTCACAACAACCGACTCCTGACTCTATCCCTCATGCACCGCACTCTTCAGTGAAACGCGTTTCAGTTATCATTGCGATGTCTTTTCGCGGAGTTTGGATGAACGCCGAGAGCGCGAGACACCCTCCAATATGGCAGATCAGGCACCCAGCGGGCGGGCCTCGATTCACCATACCCTCTGTACTCATTCAGTTGAATCCGCGACATTATTCAGCAACCTCACCACGTGCTAGATCCTTATAGGAAGCGCTAGTAAAAGTTTCCATTATAGGTTAGCTCAGCTGGAGTTTTGGAGGAATGCGTGAGACAAGGCGTACCAAGGCATCCTCCTTCAACATACAACTCGGATTCCTAAGCGGACGAAGAGTACAGTTATGGCAAAGTATCAAGATCAACAAGCATGTTTGATCCAAAATATTGGTGAGATTATGAAGCAAGTAGCAAGAAAACGTTCAAGCGTCGCCAAGGCCCAAAAATCAATGCATGGTCGACCGGACTGAAAACAAAAGCACGCTTCCTTTTCTCATCCGGCGAGACAAGTATAAGTAAGAGGATGGCTCGCCCATCATAAAATTATCCCAGTCTGACTATATCAAGGCCTCAATCATCCACCCACCGTCGAATTCACCGCCAGAATGAAGTATCTTTCCACTCTCTCCACCCTCACGGCTTCGGCGCTTGCGGCGAATGTGTCGACAGTACACCAGTTCTCTAATGGAACGTGGCTCGAAAATATCGCTGCCATGCAAAATGGCTCTCTCCTCGTGTCAACCATCGGCGTTGCTCAGGTCCACATTGTTCACCCACAAACCTCACCAGCGACATTCTCCACCATCGCCACCTTTCCAAACGCGACTGGTGCTTTCGGCATCACCGAATTCAAGAAGAATGTATTTGCTGTGATAGTTTCGAGGTCTGCACCCGAATACCGGCCAACCTTACAGAAATACTCGCTATGGAAGCTTGATCTGAGCCAAAAGGAGAAGACAACGAAGGTCAGCATGATGGCAGAACTACCTGATATGGCTATGCCCAATGGTATGGCCACTTTGAACCAGGAAACACTGCTTTTGGCAGACTCGTGGTATGGAAACATCGCTGCATTCAACATCAAAACTGGAAAGACGGGAGTCGTTCTGGAGGACCCTAGCTTAGCGGCCAACTTCTCCGCACCCGGGCTGCAGCTCGGTGCCAACGGAATCAAGGTTCATGACGACTACGTATACTACACCAACACTGCCCAGGCTATCGCCGGCCGCGTTCGTGTCCACCCGTCGACCGGCAAACCCTTCGGCTTTTTCGAGACCGTGCGCGACTCTACTCTCACCGGTCCGGATGATATCTCAATCGCAAAGGATGACAGTATTTACGTCTCTGAACCACTGGCGGCGCCACAAGGTGACAAACTTCAGCACATTACGCTTGATGGCAACGTTACGACTATTGCTGAAGGTGACTCTGTGGCAGGCACCACAGCGTCGGCATTTGGAAGAACAAAGAAGGACAGCAATACTCTTTACTTGACGACAATGGGTGGCTTTGGAGCGGATGGCCAGGCGAAGGCAGGTGGGAAGATCGTTGCGGTGCAGCTATGATAGCATGGCGTTGACGGAATGCAGTCTGGAACTGGTGTCAATACTTGGAGGGGTAGAACAATGTTGATTGTAGGGATGTTGTCATTTGGAGTGTAGTTTCAATACGAGTGGAAAGCATTATATAACAGAGCTGCACATTGACGGGTTGTGATATGGCGTCGCTGATATGGGTGTAAAAAGGCAACGAACGAGATACTCCGAAACCTGGATGGAGGTTAAGCAAAGTGATTGAGATCATATCATTTCACTATTCAAGGCCAACATATATCTGGCATACGTTGAGATGACCACAGGCGGACAAACAACCAAGCGGTTAGGGTCTCTCTACTCCGCACAGCATTCATATCCCACAGTCAACTTTGAGCATTTTCCTCAACACGACACTATCACCCACATCAGAGCCTCTACCTCGATTTTGACCGGGGTGTTAGTACACATGATCATGACACCCAATATATCGCTATGGATACAATGTTCACTACAAGATACTATTCAGATCGCCACTCCGAAACACGATAGCTGCTGAAGGGCCTGCACGCTTTGGCCAGTATTGACAACTGTGTGATCTCCGCGGTTCGAATACAACAATGGTTTCTATCTAAAGATCAACCTTCACAACTCTTCCGCCAGAAACGCCTGGATTTGTAAGAGGAAAGTCCAATCCACCACCACTGACAAAGTACACACTGTTCCGATCAAACCGACCACGACCTAGTGCAGCGGATGTTGCATTCAGGCCTTCAGCAACGGGGCGAAATGTCTGACCAGGTATATCGATTTCGATCAACTGACCACGAGGATTCGTGCACGCATACGCCTTCTTGCCATCTCTGGAGAGTGTGAAATCGTCGATAAGAGTGCCATTCGTGATGAGCGTTGCTGGCCCGGTCGGCATGCCAGTGGTAAGCGAGATGGGCATCTTGAAGAAGGTCGTCGCAGCGAAGTTGGCGTAGAATAGCTCGGAGCCGTGAATATGGATTCCAGTGACACCTGCTGCTCCAGGTATGGTCGATAGCATAGTTGGATCGCTGATGACCACTGAAGAAATGCCAGTGCGAACGTCTAGCCTAAGGATGTGACCAGCGCCGGAGTCGGAGATGAGTATTGCCGAGTTGTCCTTCGGTCCAAGTCGAGACAAGGTGTTGACAAACGTAGTGTTAGTCAGATCCGCAACCAAAGATATCTTTGCTGGCCGAGCGATATTTCCTTGCTGATTCACGCGGAAAGGACGCATATCCACTTGCCAAATCTTGCTGGGGAAAACCAAGCTCGTGGCAGTTACGTTACTCATATCGCCCGCGCTGAGGTAGAACACATCTTTTTCGAGCTCGGTGATCCCCAAAGTGCCCGTGGCGCCAGGGATTTGTGCGACTACGATTGAGTCGCGCTTCTGGCTTGGGTCGACTTGTAGCAACATTGGCCCGCTAATGGTCGTAGTGAGGATTTGACCATTGTATCGCACTGCTATTCCTTCAAGCCACGTAGGGTTAGGTGCCTCAAAGACGACTTTAGAGTTGTAGAGGCCCTGTTGCTGGCGAGAGGGGATACCGAAGGATGTTGCCGATGTAGCTTGAGATAGCAGTGCTATGCTAGCAGCCAAGAAGGTTGATGATCCGAGGAACATCTTGGAAAATATAGTAGGCTGATAGAGAGTGCTATTCTTTGTTAATAGAGTAGTTGTTTCGAGCAACACAGTAGCCAGCAGCGTACTTAAGTGTCTCGAGATGCGCTCTCAAAATTATGTCAGCTATTGACTTGGCTAAGGTCCATGCTCGGCGAGGCCCATAGCCCTGAGGCCCATGGATAACACCCTGAGCTAAACCGGGGTCGAGATTGGAGACTCTCCGGATGCTTGTGCTAGAGCCCTCATGTTGGTGCGCCTTAACACCGTCACTCTTGTCATAGATCCCTGTATGAAGATGTCTTAGCAAGGTCGTTTGACGCTTCGTCATCTTTTCGCTGTCCAAGGAATGGATCAAACCCCCATTTATGCACTAATATCTTGTTCTTTCTTGTTCTGGAGATTCGATTTCCTGTCACACCGTGATGGCGACATGGTAAAGAGCGACTTGATACAAATGGCGTCTACCAAACTGCATCAACGAGATTCATGTGGATTCGAGCGCAAAGACCAGGAGAGAAAGGCCGAACCGCAGATCTTTGTAGGTATGATCGGGCCGAGACAGGTAAGTAGTGTCGCCAAGAAGGTCCATCCCTCCTAGTTCAAGACCCTGGATGAATGATCAGCCTTGAATATGCACATCACCCATGTCACTCTTTCCTGAAAGGTACTTAGTTGCAAAACATGATTGTGTATCTCCACGTGTGCGGCCGTACGTGGTCCTAAGCGAACGCTGGACAGCCCGGCTCTAGGACCGAAGTTGGTTATGTCAGCAGCGTGTCGATAGCAAGCAGTAAGTCTAATATCCTACCTTAGCTAGCGGAATCTATTCCGCTTGTATAAGATAAACTCGGTCACAAGGTTTGCTTTGGTCTGACTCAGCTATATCTTCCGCGAAAACTACGCCCGGCGGAGCCTTAGTTACAAAGTCATAGCTATGGATATGCTCATGACCTCCGGACTTATGGGTATGTCCGAAGTTGGATTGATTAGATCTTTATTTAGGCATTCGCTCGGCGTTACCAAGGTACATGCTCAATTCTGAAGTCAGCAAAGGCGACAATTCCTTCCAAGGCTTACGAGCCTATTTGTCTACTCAGCAGGTATGAAGTACGAAACGACAACCGTCAGCATTTGAAAGACCTGTAGCGAGTTCATTCTAACAAGTATTCGAACTCTACGTAACCTATCCCATGTGCGTCGGAGAACTTCCAAGACCGAGACGTTCTGTTTCAAGTCTGCTTTGGCTCAATGGTTTGTCCAAGCCTGTGGGAACATGTACTATTGAGAAAGTGAGACTCTTGGCAGTGATCTTCCTGTAGAGTACTTGTATATGCTTGGACTCCAAGGTGAAGCGAATCCGCATTGACGTGGTTCCCTGATCGATAAAAACTGTATCGTTCAGCGTCTCCAAGCTGGGAGATTGGAGGAACAGATCTTGCCAGGACGCTCCATCCTCCCGATACTTTTCTTGGAATATGAGTGCAGTTTCACGCGGTCTTTGTAGTGGTTGAAATGCTTTCAAAACTGGTGGTTCCACTTTGTAGTCGCATAGCAGTACCAACGGAACGTTGCACACGCGAACAGATAGGGCTAGTACCACGGGGTGTAAATTCCATCCATAGAACCTCGCTGACATGTAAAGACTGTCTGTATGATCCCATAGGGTTGTCGGGTATGCTTTGTCAACTCGGACGGGGCCGCGCCATGGGACATGTACCGAACTCATACGGTAAAGGAAGGGAACTTTGGTTATCGCAACCGTCGGATCAATCAGGATGTGTGTTGCCGTCACGTCGAGTGTGCTCAATCCCCGAATTGTTTTCCAAGGAATACTTGCCATCGCCACGTTACCAAGTCTACAGTATAAACGTGGCCCAAGTTTGCGAAGGTAAATGCCGGTATGCCTTTGTCTCTCACTACCACCATATTGAGAATCTTTACCAAGGCAAAAGAGGTAAAACACACCGACATGGGCGATTATTGGTTGCGTTATAAACTTGGTACGCAGGCGGATTTCGCTAGTGAACAGAACACCTTTGTTCGTGGCAGAGAACTCGATGAAAACATCGGTGAAGGGGCGAATAGCGAAGCTCTCTGCAAAATTTGCGGGGTAAGGAGCGAAGAGACCAAGATATTCTCGGTCGTGGAGTCCCTTTTCAAGAGGGTTCCAAGCGAAAATAGTTATGTCGTTGTGTCGTTTAACGATTTCCTCTTGCAAGCGTTGAAACGCTTGGTCGCCCTCGCCGTAGATCAAGGGCATATGAACATTGAACAGTCCGAGCAGACAGTATGCCGCGTCTTCTTTACGTTTTGTCTGGCGTCCAGCAGCCCAAGACATCTTCGCGGCAACGCAGATCGACTTTTCCTCGACGCCTTCCAGTAAGATACGAGGAGGAATCTTAGTGGTAGCCGAAATCAATTCGGCATGATCGCGTTTAGTCCCAACAAACTGCAGACTCTGGTTGAAAAATTCTACATAATGCGGCGCGATCAACTCTTGCAATGTCCACCCCCGTGAAAACCAACGACAGGAAGTCAAACACGCGTCCAGTGGTTGTCCAGAAACAAGATCTTCTAGAAGAACAAAGCAAATCCCCGCTGTCTTGTACCATTGGTACATGGAGTTTATGGACTCTGTCAACTCAGCACTGCTTGACTTATCGACTGCGATATCGATTGATGCGTTAGCCAAGTTTAAAGTTTCGTGCAACGACGTCAAGCGTATTCTCTGCAATGAAAGCAATCACACGTACTATGCAAAGGTTAGTTGCCATCATGTTTGCGACCAATGGCTCCAAATTACCTGCAGCAAGTGTCGACCCAGAAATACTCCAAGTCGTTTGCTTCAGCCTGATCCGCGCAAAAGTGTATCTTCTTGTAACCGTTCTTGTTATGACCCGTGTTTTGCAGGATGTCTTGGTATGTAACTTCTTGGCTATCGGCGCCCCAAGTGTGCGAGAGTATGGCGTAGAGTGGAGTGTCTAGACCCATGAATTCGGTGAGGCTGAAGCTGCCGTCGTCTTCCCTGCGAAGGAGACGCATCTTATTCCGTTGGAAGTAAGGTATCGAGGGCTACAGGTGATGTCAAAGAGGAAGTTAGAGGAAGCTTCGACCAGACCGCGCGACTTCCTTGTGTGATTGTTGCGTTGAAGATGTTGGGGCTGGAGTGTACGAGGCTGAGATGACAAACCACGTGCAGATAGCGACTTGGCGAAATGATCACCATAATTGGTAATCATTCAACCCGGCTATACAGATACAAGTCAAAGGGTCCTAGCCATTCAAGTTGAATACTAAATTCTTCCGACATAGTAGTGGTTCGAACAAGCAGTAGTTTTCTAAAGCTCGAAACGTTACGACCAAGTAACAGGTTTTCGATGAAGAAGCAGGACGGCCTCCCTGGAAACGGCAGGCTTTGGTACGGAGAGATATAACGCTGTGGTGAATGTCTCCAGGTAACTGTGTATTAAGGCAGTTATATTCCCGGACGACGAGATGCTACCTAATCTGTGTTCCAACAAAGATCACGCCGATCATTTGGCGCTGATCTAAGTGTGTATATGGGTATAGAGAAGACAGACTTGCGAAGGAATTGATACCAATATCAAAGCATCAAAATAGCGCTAATACTCCATCAGCATCCTCCGTGCTCGAAATGCGACATCGAAACGCAACTCCATCTTTGTATATGCGGACCGGCGAGAAAGGATTTTTGAAGAGGCAAAAGGATGAAAACGGGTAGGGGAAGAAAGAGAGGGGCCCAGCTAAGCTAACAGCCTACAGATCCGATGCTGTCACACTGTGAGTGCGATAGATCGTTCGCCTCGTCGTCGAAAAGCTCCCAACGATACTGCGATAAGACTTAGTACCACTGGCAGGTCTCTGACAGTTCCTCCTAACGGCCTATACATCGTTCCCTTCTTTTAGCCTACTCAAGACATGTGTGTGCGCCGCATCAGTGCACGTTGTTGCTCAGTGTAGCACGACTGGACGCGTTGCGGTCGTGGTATCTCATCGCCGTTCGAGCTGTGGGTCCAAGACTCAGCCGGGTGGACAGGGACAGCGGGATCCTCGTAAGCGCCAACAAGGGTGATCGCAGAGCCAGCTATAAGCTGTTAACATCCGAAAATTGGTTCTGAATCAATGTCTAGAGACATACCCGTATGGAGAGAACGAGAGCGCTGGTATAGATAGAAGCGTCGAGATCTGCCCATTCCCCATCCCATTTTGAGGCTAGACCAGGTTTGTACAAGAGCGAGCGCTATGCCCAAGACAGCCACGCATACGCCGATAAGCGTCAGTAACGCCTCTGTCGACAGCTTGTGTGATTGGACAGATTGACCCGCAGCAATGTCTCGCCTGACGGGGTGTGGCATGGGTATGAAGGCTGCGTGGGTCGTAGGAATAAAGTGATCGCTCAATAGCATCAGGATCAGAGACCAGGACATCTTGAGGACAGCTCGCATTCTTGGATATTGAAGACAGTCGGGGTTGGATTCGGCCCAGGATTATTTATAATATGCACAAGGAACTTAAAGACGAGTGATGGTGAGCGCTTCAGGTGTCTCCTGTTCCTGGGTGGGGGTGACGAAGATGCCGCCTGCCAACGTAAGCAGAGTTCCTGGCGGGCGGCTCCCTGACGGGCGGCGGATTGAAAACCGGAGAAGCTCGTGGCAACGCGACAAAACCGGCAGATAAAAGGTGCACAATCCCCGCGTGTTTCTAACCGTGGCCAGCAGGACATACGTCCTGAGTAGAGGGAAGAGCCATATCTGCGCATGTGTGCTTCGGTGAAAGAGGTTCCAAGGGAGTCACAGATCTGCTGGTTGTAGGAGCAGGTAGCATAGCTGCTGAAATTGATGTTGAAGCTCAACTTGAAGGGACACGCAGGCAGAACGCGACGCGCGCGCGCGTTCATGTAGCATATCACAGATATCGAACATCAACTTTGGGCCCAGAACGATATAATAACTTGTTGTGTTGGTGGACTATCAGCATAGAAGGACGGACACTCTTTTTGGTGTTGCTGGTTCGCCGGTTCGCTGGCAGGGACAACGGCGGCGCGAGCCGTTGCTGCAGATGTTGATTGCGCTGATCTCTGGCTAGCGACGCGCTTGGTCATTGACCAGCGAAATCTGCTCCGAGCACAGAGGCCTGCTTCAGATATTGTTTTTGGGATGACGATTGCATGATAACATACTTAAGCGTACTTTGAAACTTCCATTACTGGGATAAGGCTGTTTCCACTAGCGTGACGTCATGATAGCGGAACATGACGGTACCTAAGTAACTTTCACATGCAAATGTCCAAGCGCGGAACAACACGATTATATTTGTGATTCCTCCCATTTGCCCTCTTGTTTGCGCTTCTGAGCTACACGATCTTACAGTTACCGACAACATGCCCGACAATAGAAACATGTCAGAAATCATGAGGCATTCCGAGCGTCTCACAAATGGAGACGATGGAGTGGTGGTCTCAATCCCCAATGTACCCATCACCGAGCAGAGAAAACCTTTCGTGAACTCGGAAAGCTCAAAACTCCAGCATACAGGTATGTGTTCGCTCATGAGATATCTCACAGCTGCATTGCTGACATGAGCAGGCACCGCGCGTGCAAATGTCGCCCCATCAGCAGAATCTCCTGATGGCACACCAGGCTGGAAGGAGAAGCACTCTCATCAAACCGTCCTACAGCAACATTGCGACTTCTTTGACCGCGACCACGACGGCATCCTTTGGCCGCAGGATACATTCGTTGGCTTCTATCGGCTTGGTTACGGTATCATCCTGTCCATCGTGGCGGTATTCGTTATCCACTCCAACTTTTCGTACCCGACATGCTCTGGATGGCTGCCCGATCCATTCTTTCGTAAGAGTATCCAATTCCAAACGACGTGAGACATACACTGACTTTGTACGCTATCTCAAAAGGTATCTTCCTCAAAAACGTACACAGGGATAAGCATGGCAGTGACACCGGGACGTATGACCACGAAGGGCGCTTTGTGCCGCAGAGGTTTGAAGACATTTTCGCCAAATACGCGGAAGGTAGGGACTACCTCACGATCTGGGACGTGAGCAATGTGCTCAAAGGACAACGATGCATTGCTGACCCAATTGGTTGGGGTGGTGCCTTCTTTGAATGTAAGTCGAGCCAGTTTCATTATCTATGAATGTTCTTGCTAATGATTACAGGGATTGCCACCTACATTATGCTGTGGCCTGAGGACGGCCGAATGATGAAGGAAGATATCCGTGGTATCTACGATGGAAGCATATTCTACACTCTCGCTGAGAGACGAGAGAAGGCTTCGTGAGGTCGAGTCTCGAAGACTCATCCAGGTCATCGCACTCGTGAGCTGCGTCTGAAAGAGATCGTCGTGTTCGAACGTGAGAAGACTTTAGATTACTCGCTTGCACTGGTGCGATGCTTCGGTAGATACTAGATGAAATGAGATAGAAAACCTCTATGTGCCAGAGCCAAAGGAATGTAATCAAGACTGAAAATCGTCCACGAAGATAGCACGAATGAGTCGTGACTCGCGACTGCCTGACGCGTAGCTTGAGATACAAGCCAATCCTCCTTACAGATGGTGTCCACCTGTCGCTTGCACCAGCAGCTGCGTTCGACACTGGCCCAAACTGCCCGAGTATGTATACATTATATCCATGCCCTCAAAACGTAAGAGTGCGCCGTATCAGCCCACGCTGTTGTTCGCAGTTATCGGATCGCGCGCGTTGTGGTCGGCTGATTCCAGTCTCGCCTAGGCCGGCGGCTGCATGAGATTCGACCGAGGAACGTGGCATCGCGTGCTGCCATGGGTGATCAGCGAGTAGGACGTTCGAGTTTGCTGGGCTTGTCAGTTTCCTGGGAGATTTTGTGCGATCATAGGGCAAGACGTACTTGTGGAGCGGTACCGGGAGCGAGAATGGCGGCGGGAATCTAGCCTCGATCTTAAGTGGGGCCAGATGAAGGGAAGCGCTATTCCGAAAATGGCCACGACCACTGCGATTACTCCCACGATCGCTTCGACAGACAGGCTTTGTGATTGGATGGTCGACCGTTTGACCTGCTCTCGTTGCAGAATAATTTGGATCGGGTGAGCGTGTATAGTACTAAAGCTGTATGTAAAAGTGACGAGAAGAAGCCGGAGCAGCATGTTGCCGAAACCCGTTATCTTGATGTGGGCACTTTGCTAGTTTCTATGTTGCTAGGGCTCAAGACGACGGAAATGCATGTAACGAAGCACACTGAGTAGGTATGGTTTCAAGGTGTCTTCGATAATGCTTCGTGTTTAGTAAATATCTGTGTAAAGCGCGGTCTCAGTGGGAAGAACAATGAACGTAATAGTTGTTGAAAGCACTGCAGATAGGACGACGTGCCGTCTTATATCCATAAACACCTGAACCGACCTTTTGAGGGAGGCTGTGGGGTGTAATGCTTTCCGAAACGCGTGGAGGAGACGGCACCCAAGAGCGTGGAAGCGAAAAGGAGATTCAGGTTGGAGCGGCCGCTATTACTACCCACCGCATGCCAGCGACCGGTTTTAACTGCTCATGGCTAGTGCGAATGCTCACGACTGGTGTGCATGCTCATGACTGGTGCGAGTGCGCGCAACTAACGCGGCAAGCCAAGACATGTACGTCCGTCCCCCTTTGCTCATTCGGCGTGTACCTTACTCTTCTTTGACTAGGGCAAAGAACGATTCACACCCACAGCCTGTACCTTACCCTTCTTTGACTAGGGCCAAGGGCGTTGACAATACGCTCATGCAAGTCTAAGGCCCGACAAAACACGTACCCTGGCAAAACATGTGCATTTAAGGGCCTAAGAAATACGCACCCTAGCAAAGCATGCGTCTTTTGGGTTGCCAGGCAAATTTGGCATTATATTGAAGGAAAATCGAACTGTACTGTGTACCGGCTCTGGCTTGGTTCGCTTTCGACTGCCACGATCTTGTGCACCGATTATATATCAAAACAGGTGGAATCGAGTCGCGTCACAGTTAGCATTGATTTGGCCTTAGGCATCGAGCTCCCTACGTCGCTAAATGCACACCAGAACACATAAGAGACCGCCATGGAAGCGCATGACCAGGAGCATGCTTCAAGATAGGGTGTGCTACGATAGCGCTCTTGAGAAACAAGACCCTCAAAACGCGTGTCCTAATCATACACCCTTTCGTCCCATGGCACTTAGACTCGTTCCCTGACTTGTCACGCATTATGCCAGTAGTGCCGGGCGCTACACCCAGCCATAAGCAAATTGTCAGTTGAGCCCTTCAGCATTATGAAGCCGTTGGGAGTGTACGAGTGTGCAGCAACACGCGCCGTTGTTCTGTGGAGCAGATTTGAACGCGTAGTGGTTAGGTATGTGATCTGATCTTCGTTCACGTCGTTGGTCGAGGAAAGAGGAGCTGGCGAACGTCTATAGTGCCTGATGAGGTATATTGCTGAGTCTTTAGTAAGTAATTTGTATTTGATAAGCCTCAACGTTAGTGTACGGGAACTCACCTGCGGCATCGCGACGGGCGTGGGAGCGATGATGCCAGCGGCGGGCCAAGCACGTCTCTTCCCCGCAGTTTCGTTTAGGACTACCTAGGTACCCCCGCGGCGAAACAACTTGGTTTAGGTGAGCGTATGCATCACCAATGCGGTATGTCAAGGCAACAAGCAGAAGCTGGAGAAGCATGTCGGAAAGCAATGTCTACCTAGGTAGATGCAAGTACTTTAGCAGTGTCCACCTTCCTAAATTACAAGACGACGGGAGTGTTCTATGCAGTCAGAAGACGACTGGGTAGATACGAGTTGAAGGTGTCGTTCGTTGAATGCGCAGCAAGCATGGACGCCTTTGAATACTGAGCATCAGCAGAACCTCATTTTAGCGTGGGTGCAGGTTGATATCTACCACCAACGACCAGGTCGGAAATGATGCAAGGATCGGGACCATCTAGCGTGCTCTACCATGTTCGTATAGCATCAGGCTGGGCTTCGCATGAAGGATACTCAGTGCTATCTTGCGAAATGCCATAGCCTAGTCAATCCGGGCTATCCAGATCATAGTCTCCCTTTCCATCGAACTCTTACCGCTCCTCGTACAGTAGGGACCATCATAGGCGTCGATATTATCCTGGAACGGACACTCATCGAGCGTGCGAGTGCTAGGTGTTCTTGTCTTCTTCGTCCACTGGGTCCAATCCACATCTCTACCTCAGCATTTTGGTTCTTATATGTCACCTCTGAGACACGAAATCACTTCGGAAAGAAGCGCTACAGATGCTCTCAGATATAGAGAGGTAAATTGTTCTATCTACAGAGTTTTCGACAACTATTCCATTTACCTTTCTTACTACGGAGATAGCGCTTCACCCAGATTTCTGCCAAACACGAATACCCTTATGTGAGTTCAAGCCGGTAACATCAATATGCGCCTTGGTCTACAGGCATGATATTCAGCTGCTATCGCCAGCTGCTCCTCATCGCGCGAAATTCGCGAAAGCTAAGGTACTCGTCGTATTCTTCTTGCAATTGCCGTCTAACATTGTCTTCTCTTCTTGACTTCCTGCGCCGTACTGCGATCGCGCAATCTAGGTTTGGGGGTCAATATTGCTCAAATCTCGAAATGGTGCGCAAGACGGGATTGCCTTACATCTGGAAGGCTTGCATAGCCACACGCGTAATGTGGGCGATGCGCCTAAGGCACCAATAAAGATGCCAACTATGGCTACGCAGACGCTGACCAGTGTGAAGATATCTTGTCGCGACCATCCAAGTTGCTGTTGATTCGAGTCCGTAGGTACACGATCGTATCCTAATTGTTCATTGTGAACAGGTAGGATTGGCGAGGCTTCGATGGAAGCCACGCTTAGTAGAAGAATTGCGATGACCAACGACATGATGTTTGGAACGTATAACTCATGTGTGTTCAAACGCATGCCATTGGTAGAAGAATGGGTGTTCAGACGCATACTATTGGTAGAATAGATTTGTATGGCTGAAAAGAACAGAGATGATTCGCGAATCATAAAGAAGGCAACAAGGCAGCTGGGGCTGAGATAGGCTATGCCAACCAGCAGGAGGCCTTATGAGAGTAACCCCGCTTCTGATTCGCCACCTTACCCGTCAGAAGAACCCACATATGTCGGTGGCCGAAAGTGCATACAAAAGATGGATGATGTGGAAAGAATCATATAGAAGTAGGATTGCGTCCTCTTCCCCACCAAAAACATCACGACTGCTTGAAGACTCCCAAGATAACATATATTATAGTATTCACTTTTGTTCAGTCGTTCTATCACTGTCCAATATAGTAAACTCAATCCATCGAGATTCCTCGGCCATTTTTGCAGGATTCACTGCGCTATTCCACATGCATCACAGCCAATCGGCACCCCGCAACTTTACCGATTAGAGACTTGACATGACATGAGTTACGTGGCGACTACCTCAGGTCGCATACTCGATGTCTGAGGCATGAACATCAGGAATACTCACAAGAAGAGACGTAAGCCGTCTCCAACTCTCACTGAAGAGCGATTGGCGACACGATTCGGCAAACATTGTTCAATAGTTGTGTATGTTGCGTCGACTTTTATAGGGCTGCATGAGTGAAGGAGTCGTCATTTCGGCCGGCTTTTAGGCTGCGCTGCATCAATACAGATTAGGTACAGATGATCCGTGGACTGCCATCGCCCCGTTCTACCGACGTTGTCGCAACTTTGAACAAACCACAATACCGTCCAAAATCATCAGAAGCTATCTTCTCGCACGGCGATATCACTATGTACAAAACACTATCTGCAGTGTTGCTTATCTCGACTCGCGTATGGTTTGCCTACGGTTATAACACCAGTCCAAGCTCGTATTTGCTGCTCAACACAGATCATCTTGCTGCCCAACGCCTCAACTGGCAGACTCCACTCTCGACGAAGGACGACCGGTCTACCGTGTTGAATGTTCGTAGAATGTTTGGATGCAATGAGAACACGCTGATGTGCTACCCAGTTTGATGACATTCCAACGACTGACGGACAAGCGGCTATTGAACTTTACGACGGTCTTCTCTTCGAGGGACTGACGGTTGTCAATGTATCTGACAGCAGCCTTCTTGATGACAAGGATAGAGATTGTGCAACATCACACACAAACACCTTAGTCAGCTTTTCATACCCCGAAGGCCAACGTCCTCAAATCAAGATCGGAGCAGTGCACCTCAACGACAAAACCTCGTCGCCCATGTTTGATCTCTTATCCCTCTCCATCAAGCCACGTCAGAAACGATCCTCGGACCCCGTGGTTATCAGATATAAGTTCTGGCAAATCCAAGACGGCAAGACCGAGACGACATATTTAGATCTGGTCTTCCATGGCGTTGATCACCACGCCGTTGCCCACGTTGATTTCGAAAGGTACGGGTATACCATCAGAAACCTCACCGCTTTCGAGATTACTGTAATGGAGAACAACAACCTGGACTTTGCATTTTGTCTGGACGATCTGGGTGTAAGGATCCACAACACGACTGGCGGTAAGGTAACTCAATAAGAGGGGTTGTTGTCGTCGATCAGTAGGAAGTAGATACGAATAGTTGACACTGGTAAAGAATACATCCATACCTGACGCTATCAAAACGACCTATGCGCAGGGACTGTCAGTGTTTTGTGCATATGCGATCGCGCAATAGTCGCAAGCCTAGTGCTACGCATGCCAGATATGGCAGTGCGGTAGAAACGACATTCTCGACACAAACATGTGCCAACATAGCGAGTGTGTGTTCTACTATGATCAACATCTTCCAATAAAGCTTTACAGCACTTTCGCAGAGCTCTAGGTGATGTTGTGACCAGATCCCTGTCGCAACCGAAGCTTCAATTGTATTCCGCCATCAACGAGAGTGCTCGCAAATAGCTACGTTGATGTATCGTTAGCTAAACCAAAAGGTGAATGTATCGAAGCGGTGCTGTATAGCACCAATTCCCAGATACTCCAGAAAAGCGTTCATGAAGACATTAGATTTCTTTTTTACCGATATTGATTGATGACAGTATGACCTTTGAATACGTTTCCAGAAGCAAGAGCGTTCTAGTGTTCGCTTTGCTCCACTGCAGAAGCGTTATAGCGCAGGGGATCAGGAGGGGTGCCTATTCGTCAACCCACTCATCGTCATCGTACACGTCATTGTACCAACCAGGGAGTTCCTCTTCATCAGCTGTTTGAATCATTGAGATCAACCGCAACATTGGATCCTGAGATGAGTCCGTGGGATCCACTCTCCCTGCAGATGTTGGGTCCTCCACGCCCCCCATTACCCTATCTTCTCCCTCGAGGTTGGGCGCAAGGCTGATGATGCGAATCGTCTTTGTTGGGAAGAGACGAATGTTCCTCGCGGTCGTTCCATCACGCCTTTCACCCAGTGTCTGCCTGCTGTTAGCTCTTATATATTCTGTTCGGGGGCCTGTTCATTACCGCATAAGTCGACATGATACAATCGTCGCAAAGTGCCATGAAGCTAATTGGACACGCGAGTTGCGGCGCAGAACTATTGAGGTAACAGTATGAGGATGCCCGCCCAGCGGCTTGCTCTTCGACACTGATGCGATTCCTGCTGTCGAGCGCAACGACGTAGGCTCTGTTCATAATCTCAAACATGATTCGATGGTTGCGAACAGATAGCCAACCACCGAGGTCGAAGCTTGACCCGTCAGAGTCACACTGTAGGATCTGACTATAACGTGCCAGGTTTTTGGCCCCGTCTTCAAGTGCCTTGCGGAAGTCGGAGCACACGAAGATACAGCCAAGCCGGGAGAAGCCCACGAAAAGGTTGCTGTCGCGATCTAGCATGCCAGCACCCCATTCGTCCTCGCTGGTATCTCTTCCGTTCTGGATGGGAAGAGGGCCTTTATTGAGTTGAACAGGCTTCAAGCGGGTTTTGCGGGGATTTGATGCAGGGAAGATTGGTCTCGATGGGCGACCGGTACTCAGCGCGGCCAAAGCCCCGTTGGATCCAGGTCTATCGAGAGGTGGCAAGGGTTCGACGTGGTATGTTTCTGTACACTGCGATGGCTGTAGTGTACCCAGAGCCTCTCCAGTCTTCTTGTCGTACACGTGGTAACCACGTGCTCCCATGGAATACACAACCACATCCTCATTCTGATCGAGGTGCCCTACCGCGTCTTCTTCAATCTTCAAGTGCGTAGTCAGCCTTGGCGGGCTTTGCTTCATATCGTACACGAAGCCCTGGCCCTCTACTGAGACCACAACCAACGTCCAATAAGAAAGCTGGAATCCTCTTGTTTGACAATCATGATCTAGAACAGCTATGCGTCGAAACTCTCCTCTTGCTGCACCTTCTTGATCTGTTTGCCAGACTTCTACCGCGTCTCCTTCACGGTCGAATACGGCCATTCCATCTTGATACTCCAGATGCGCATATGGTCTGACGGCATCCTCAGAATTCGAGTCCAGAATCGAAGGTAATTGCCATAAGATGTCCCCAGTGTCCATATCAGTTACATTCAGTCCGCCAGCATGCGATGTCGAGATGAACAGGCGACGTTTGAAGTCGGCTTTGAACCGCCATACCGCATTATTGGTGACCTGCAGGATGGACTCTTGCGTGACAGGTTGCGACGAGGCCCAGTTGCGCGCAAGAAGCGTTTGTCGCTTGCATAGATCTTTCCATGATGTGAGGTTCTCGAAGAACTTGGAGAAGCTGGTGTAATCTTCAACAAACGAGAAGTCGCGTGCGGTGCGGGGTGGTTGAGAGGTCGTATGCGATTGCGACGTCTTAGTTGGAGAAGAGTAGATAGCTTCTTGATGTGTTTCGTCGATGAAATGGTGCCAGGCGCGTGATACAACGGTAAGCGATGCTAAGGCTGAGACGGGTGTGAAATCGAGGATGCGGAGCACGATCTCCGGCGGAAGGACCGTCAGCGGGTCCGCAACAGGGCCATTCAAAGCAGGTTCGCGACTTGTGAAGACGGATATAGGGTCCTGATTCATGCTCATAATATTGAAGTTAGAATGCGCTGTTTGTTGTCACGCACGATAATATTCTTGACGGATCAAAGAAATAGCTCTCCGGAATGAAGTCATTGTGGAGCAGTCACGTTCACGTCTCGTGGAACATCACACAAGCTCAACTAAGAACCAACATAACCACATTTACGACAATGGCATCTCGCTGCGGATTGTATCTTCATATGATTGAAGTAGAAACGCATAGGAGCATATGTTCAACTTCATAGTGACTACACGTGGGGTATCCGCATCATTTTCGGAACTACCTGGAAGCGCACTCGGCGCATCTCAACCGACACGCAAGTCAACGTCCCTCCACATATCGGAGAGATTGATAACAAATGCCATACCGATGACTGTGAACACCATCCGATATGCGATAAGCAACGAGTCGGCGATTTGCATCCGGTTAGGCATCGATTGTGGAGATGCATGTTGCCAAGTCACTAGCAGCTTCGGCAACAGCGTGGTACTGCTTACCATGAGCGAAAGAGGCATCTCTATATGTCCGGTTATCTTGGGTATCATACCAGCAGGAACCTTAATACTGCCCAAGTGTATAAAAGAGTCCTAATGGCGATCTGGAAGTTTGCAGGTGTGCCGTTCACATACGCTCACCATGGCGGGCCGAATCATCTTCTCCGGATTGCTGACCGCATCTCTTGCGTCTATCTCCGCCTTGGCCGCTCCCGTTGTTAAGAGAAATCCCTACAACTTCATTCTCGAAAACCCCTACAGTGATACAATCTTCGAGCTAGGGAATGTCTCATACTTGGCAAATACCAAGTACCCGAAGGCGAGTGCTGGTTGCGCAACTGCCGGCACATCTACGTCAATTCCGATCACTGTCATCAAAACCAACGAGACCACTATCACAAAGGACGTCCTGACGAGCATCGTATCGTCGTACCTCGAGGGTGACGACGTCTTCAGCCATGACTTCCTGGACGGGCTATATCTCTCATCAAGCGTCAAGTCGACCTTGGATGCTTCTGCCATGGAATATCTAGCAACCCTCAACACGAGCATGCTTTTCGTAGACTCTTCGGTGACTGCAGATGCCTCAGCGAACAAGGTCGTACTTCAATCGCCCGTTGAAATTCCCGCTGGCCCATACCTCGCATCTGTGGAAGACGGCTCCGTAAGCTTTGCGACTGTGTACCGACTTTATCCAGATACTTACAGGACGTTCCTCTTTGGCGCCTACGATGCGAATGATGGAGAAAACAACTACAACCCGCTCGGCGTATTCCTGCCCAAATTTTGGGACCCTATGATTCCTGTCCCTTCACGCATTTACTACTGGGATGATGACAGACCCCTCGCAGGCGAGCGTGTCGCGATCAAGGACTTGTATGACCTCAAGGGTCTACAAACCTCTGGTGGCAGTCAAGCATGGGCTTATATCACACCCATCTCGAACGGCACAGCACCTTCAGTACAGCAGATTCTCGATCTCGGAGGTGTCGTAGTCGGCAAACAGAAGCTCGCTCAGTTTGCTTCTGGTGCTAACCCTTGGGAATGGCAAGATGAGCACTACCCGTTCAACCCGAGAGGAGATGGATGGCTCACGTGCTCAGCTTCTTCATCTGGTGGTGGCTGCTCCATCGCCGCGTATGACTGGCTAGACTACGCCATTGGAAGCGATACGGGTTCTTCCATGAGACGGCCGGCCGCGGTAGCTGGCGTATACGGCCAACGACCCAGCCAGGGCATGATATCCCTCGAACGAGTCATTCCCCTAGGAGCCGCAACCGACACCGCCGGCGTCTTCTCCCGCGACCCTTACAAATGGATCAAGTTTGCAAAATCCTGGTACACACCCTCCCTCTACCAAGACGCGTCGATAACTGGACTATCCCCCCTCTCCGTCCCAGACACCGACGCATTTCCCAAAACAATCTTATACCCCACCGACTACCTGCCTCTCAACAACTCCGCCGCAGAACCCATTCTCCAAGACTTCATAGCAAACATGTCCCGAATCTTCAACATGACAGTCAAAGAGTTCAACTTCACCGCCACCGTACAAAACTTCTCCGACCCCATCGCCAGCAACTTTACAACCATGAACGCCGCCACCAACGTGATAAACACATGGTCCGCATGGACCGTCGTCGGAAAACCCCTACTAACAGCCTGGGCCGCCCTCTTCGACGGCCGCTTCCCTCCCATCGATCCCGCACGGAGACCGGGATGGGCAAACTTCAACGAAAGCCGTACAAACCAGACAACTTACGACGCCGCCCTCGTCACCAAGAACATAGCTGTAGAATGGTACGAGCGCGAATTGCAATACTCGACTCCAGAATCCTGCTCCGAGTCGGTTATGCTCTACGACATTGGCACAGGCGGTCTCCCTTCGTTTCGCGAAAAGGAACTCAATGACTCGCCGGATGCGTCGTATTTAGCTGTTACACCGCCAACGGCGAAGATAACAGGGGCGGGTATCTGTCCGATTTTTGGGTGTGCGGATTTTACGGTGCCGATTGGGCAGGTGGCGTATCAGAGTAATGTTACGTTCCATGAGGAAATGGTCCCTGTGACGATCAATCTTGTGGTGAAGCGGGGGTGTGATTTTGTGCTTTACAACATGATTGAGAGGTTGGCTGATGAGGGGGTGTTGAAGAGTGTTAAGACGGGGAGGACGGCATTTTGATGGCAAGGGGATAGGGGAATATGATGAGATATGAATGATGCGTGATGCTGAACTCGCAGATGATTGATGTTAGATTAAGGGGGTTTTTAGTGCTGCTGTAATGATGTCGCCTCTAATGTCGAAAGGACTAAAGTATGCATAATTGGATGAGCGAGTTTCTCATAAACTAATGCAAGCATCTTCACACAATGTCCGTAGTGCGAGCGTGCTCATGGCGGTACTTTCTGTCTGTTCAGGCGTTGCAGTCCTTGAGGCATACTTTCCAGATGTTGCACCACTCGATCATCTCCGATCTGCATGCAGTCGCATAGGTCTAATGGCTGCGTAGATAGCAAGCGGCAGACTCGGCCTCGTTATGTGACCAACTGTTGATCGGCACTGGGCAGCGTTGACGGAAAACATCATACATTGCTTCAGGAGCAGGAACTGGGAAAGAAGACCGCACCAATAGAGCGGAGATTGTAGCTTGGCAAAGCCAAATTGCATTGTTTGCGAACCAAACTGGTCCGGCGCTCTTGTAGCCCAAGAGCGGGAATGCATCGTTCTACCTTTCGAAAAGCGACCACAACGCCAAATGTAGAGTAGACAGTACAATGCCAAATGTCTATGATTTCCCCCGACGCTTTTGAGATGCCGTATAGATGCAGTATTAGAAGAAGAAGAAAAGACACGAACGTCTGCTAGAGGCCTGGAACATGCGTCCAGGATTCCTCGTGGTGGCTGTGTGCGACTTTGCGCACCTACAGGCGCCCGTATACCATCTATGATCGATGCATGGTACACCGGTCCAGCGCGTCGAGCAACTCGGGCCGTTCCGCCAAGGCCTGTCGCGCCTGGGTATAGCTGAACCAATTTCGATTCCGCTTGTGCTGCTCCGGCCATTGGGCCTCTTGCTTCTCAACGGTCGCCTCGAAGAAGTGGTACGAGGCCTTTGGGGCCTGGGAGGTGAGTTGGTCGGGTCTTCGCTTCTCAGGGATGAGGCCAAGGTCGTAGTTGATCTTGCATATTATGCCAGCCTCTTCCCAGGCTTCGCGTTTGGCGGCGTCTTGGGCCGTTGCCTCGTCCGTCTCCCAGCCGCCTTTTGGGAGCACCCAGCCGTTTCGCTTGGTGGACTGGATGAGGAGGACGTAGTACTTGTCGGCGGAAAGCGGGACAACACCGGCGACTAGCCGCTCGCCTTGGGACCCATAGCCTGCCGCCAATCAGCCGAAAGTTAAAGCGGTGAGTCTGGGGGGATTCGCGGAAGGGATTCAATTTTTCGATGTGAGTTGTGGGGGTCTCGTGAGCAGACTTACGTTGGTTCACGCGACCAGTGCGCGACTGCATCGACAGCTGCTGGGTAGCGGCCATGTCGGAATATCGACAAGGGAAGGCGCGGAGATATGCGTGGCACCGCTTGTATGCGACTCGCTCGACGCGACGGCAGCAGGCCTCAACAATAGGCTGGGTCGGAAGAGCAGAGGCGAGCCAGGCGGTGAAGTGGAATGGAGCCGAGCAAACAGCGAAAGTGTGGCTCAGGAGGGTCTGTGGGAGTGTGTGTGTGTGTGTGTGTGGCTTCACGGGGGAAGTAGTAGTGTCAAGTGTGAAGGGTGAAGGTGTGGTAGGCAAAAGGGCTGAGCAAGGCTCAGTCCCGCGGATGACGGGGCTGAGGATGTTGAAGGAGCCTGCGAGCAGCAAAGAAGTTCGGCATGGTGGATGGATGTTTTAGTAGGTGGTTCGGGTCAGGGACTTTTTACGTGGAAACTAAGGGCTCGCGGAGCGTCACGCCTGTCGCCAAGGCCCGCCTGCAAGAGGAGCTTTGTCCGGGGTGTCTGCACAGAGCTGCACAAAACTGCAATCAACGGCAGCCAGACAAGGCACTGGCTTCACCTATCGGCGCACGAGACAGGTCGTCTACGGTCCCAGCTCGCAGCTCCAATGCGCTGCATAGGGAGCCGGCGGGGCACGCGAGACCAGCGCGCCGCTTGCAGCCTCTCTGCTGCCTGCCCTCTGGATGACGTACAGGCATTTAAACGGCGAATTGCCCACTAGAAAACGAGCAATTGCCCCCGTGTAGACGCTGATCAGAGTCTCTGGTGCGCGCCCTGCACGCTGTGATACAACAACCTTTGCATTGCTATTGTGTGTCTTGACCCCGCGACCGATCGCCCGTCTCCGCCAGAACATCATTGCCATCCACGCCCTGACCGCCCTGACCGACCCCGACAGTCCCAAGAGCCCTGATCTGTAGCAACCGGGCGTGGACAAGGAGCTATTATTCATTCTGCTACCGCCTGTCATCGCTCGCCGCCGCGACGACGCTCGAATCCGCCTCGGACCACTACCCCCACCAGCTCCCACGCTTATGCTGCCCTCATGCAGTCCAGTGTGACGCCTTTCGGTATGTTCTGCTCCAACCATTTCCCTGGGTTCCGGCTCGTGCCTGTCTGGCTGGACATGAACTATCTCTCAAGCTCCCAGCAATACGGACCTCCCATCTCAGACCCTGGCTATCAACGACTTGCTAACGGTCATTTCCAGGCTACAGTAGTGAGTCGTGCGGGTACTGCAAAGACGCATCGAATGGCAGTAGAACCGCCAACTCTCGTACGTGGATTTTCATAGTCATCCCTATTCGGTCATGGACGGATCGTCATGCCTGCATGCCGCTGTCAGAGCGGTCAAGCCATCTCACACGAACAATGGGCGTCAATGGCCGTCAGTGTTGCAGCCGGCGCTTTTCTCGCCTGCATTTGATGTTCCGTTAAGGTTACCTGCCTCACGTGCAGCCCCGCGTCGCATGGAACCTTGGAATCTTGCCCGTCCCTGCCCATGCCCCCAAGCGATGCATCACCGCCAAGCATCGTCTATGTCGGCTCGTATACACGTCGGCAGGCGTTGTTTGATGCAGATCTAGATTCTTGAGATTGATTGCATCACAGTGCATCTCCATCTCGATCATGAGCTGTCTGGTGAGCTTGAGCGGGGGAAATCGGAATGAGGCTGCGAGCCGAGAGCACCGACTGACCTTACTTGATTAGGGGCGAGTTACTACTTCTCGTCGAAAAGCTTGACCGTTGAGGTCTACCAAATCCTCGTGGACCGCGGTTGGAGAAGGTACGACCCACTCATGCAGAGCACATTACATACAGCGCTATGTCTACAATAGCAGCTGACAGTGGCTTCTAGATCTGGTACCATCTTTTACAAGCCGGATGTGCTGCGACACTGCTGTCCACATTACACGATTCGGTAAGCAGGCTTGCAGTAACATCCTGCTAGAGACTTACCCGAGACTAGTCTACCCGTAGTCTCCTTCAAGCCCTCGAAGGATCAAAGAAAAGCCGTCAACCACTGGAATGACCATGTGCTAGGGGAGTCTTATATGAAAGAGGCTTCCAGACTCTACCCGATATCCAAAGAGTGCGTCGCGATACGGCAGAGTTGTTACTAGGCTGACCATCGCCAGGGAGAAAGCTCGGTTCAAAAACACATTTGATCTCACTCGTGAGATTCACAAGACCGAATATGACAATGTCAAACGACCGCCGGAGCCCGCACACCGCTTTGAGGTAACACTGGAGCCAGCAGCGTTCACGCTCGAAAAGTATGAGTTGTTCAAAAACTACCAGCAGAACGTGCACAAAGAGAAACCCCACGAGATCTCTCAAGCAGGCTTCAAACGGTTTCTGTGCGATTCGCCGTTGAAGCAGACTACCAGGACCGTCGAGGGCAAAGAGCAGCTGCTCGGATCGTACCACCAATGCTACCGGCTTGATGGACGGCTCATTGCGATGGGTATACTCGATCTGCTACCCCACTGCGTTAGCGGCGTCTACATGCTCTACCATTCCGACTATGAACAGTGGCAGTTCGGAAAGTTGAGTGCGCTACGAGAAGCCGCGCTGGCGCTTGAGGGCGGCTATCAGTACTACTATATGGGATACTACATCCATTCTTGCGTCAAGATGAAGTACAAGGGCGATTACAAGACTCAGCATGTTCTCGATCCCGAAACATACGAGTGGCACCCGCTCGAAGGCGAAATGCGCGCTCTGCTTGATAAGAAGCCATATGTCTCCATGTCTAGGGAGCGTCGCAGGAAGGAGATGGGCATCGATGGAGAGCAAGATGATTACTCCGATTATCCCTATCCGACAGCTGCTGAGGCTGGCAAGGCTGTCAACAAGGGCGTGTCGTTGTTTGAACTCAAGGTGCCGGGCCTTATGACTGCTGAAGAGATTGAACAGCAACTCGACCTGGCCACGATGCCTATTCGCGTTGGTGGGAGGATGGCGGAAGCTCAGGTGAGTAAGCTGCTTACATGAAACGCTTACTCTGTATTGACTGCGTATAGGACCTGGTCTCTTGGGACGGCAGCGAGCTGAGGAATTCAAAGTCGATTAGGGGTGTTATTGGTGAGATGGTTGCGTGCATGGGGCCAGAAGTTGCATGGCAGGTTGTGGTGCAGTTGGGCTGAAGGGTATGAAGGCGCGTGTGGAGATGCATGTGCCGAACACGTATAGATAGTGGCGACCACATGGCCTGCTCTAGACGGGCGTCTGACGTCGAAGGCTTTGATTCATGATCTTACACACGTGTGGTCAATCTCACTCGCATGGTTTCCCCTAACGGCGAAGTGGCTGAACCCTTTGAGCCTAGCCTGAACGGGAGGCCGAGGCTGCCGCTCCGAATACCATCTTGCTAAATGTCCACACACAGCACACGCTGTCGCAGCACGCAACAATGTCCGACCTCACACTCGTCGTGCGCCCTCGTGGTATGCTTGTTCCATGACCCATTGAGTCGGCTTCGGTCCGATTGAGTGCATCCTGGCTTTTGTTCGTTTGTTAACCCCTCCACAGGCCGTCCGATTAAGAACCTCCCCGAGACCATCACCGTCTCTGCGGATGCCTCGGCCGCCCAGATCTTCGAAGAAATCGCAAAGGCCTCCAGGTTCTCAATCCACCGATTGAGGGTCACCAAGGGCAGCGACGGATCGCCAATCAACAATGTGCGAGACGTGAAGGTTCACGACACGGGCCTGCGGAACAAGAGTGCTGTGGATGTTAAGGATCTAGGTATGCTACTCTCTACCTCTTCACCAACAGACGACTGACTGTCTCCCAGGTCCCCAGATCTCATGGCGCACCGTCTTCATCGTCGAGTACCTCGGACCCCTCCTCATCCACCCGCTCATCTACTTCGGCCGCTCCCTCATCTACGGCACCTCAGCTCCTCCGTCGCAGCTCCAGAAGCTCACCTTCCTCATGTGCGTCGCCCACTTTGCTAAGCGCGAGTTCGAAACTCTCTTCGTCCACCGCTTCTCGTCGGCCACAATGCCTATAATGAACATCTACAAGAACTCTGGCTACTACTGGCTCCTTTCGGGTCTGAACCTGGCATACTGGAGCTACGGTCCCAACAGCCCGGCTGCTAGACCTTCCAACCCGCTTCTCACATACCTTGGTGTGGCCCTGTTTGCCATTGGCGAGGTTTGCAACTACAGCACGCATTTGACGCTCAAGAACTTGCGCCGCCCCGGCAGCACTGAGCGCGGTATTCCCAAGGGACTGGGCTTCGATCTAGTCACCTGCCCCAACTACATGTTCGAGGCAATGGCGTGGATTGGCGTGGCGCTGGTCAACTGGAGCTTGAGCACCGTTCTCTTCATCATCGTGGCTGTGGGACAGATGGGTGTTTGGGCATGGAAGAAGGAGAAGAGGTATCGCAAGGAGTTTGGAGATAAATACAAGAGGAAGAGGTACGCTATTCTGCCTGGTATCTGGTAGAAGATACCTGGTAGGATGACGGTGTCAGGCGACAGGCGTGGGGCTAACAGCAAGATTGGCGCCTGGTGAATGCTTGGTGTTCGTGGGCACAAGCCAATGATGAAAGAGGGATGGTGTGCGGATGGCGGTGGGATTGAACCAGGGTTACGGCGAGGCGCACTCGAAGGATGAGGACGTGAGGGCTGTCACACCGGGCTCAGAACGGTAGCACCTCCGCAGGTACCCGTATCTAGCGCGTCGATGCCTATAGGTACTAACCTTACACTAATACATCCCATCGTCCGTATGCTGAAGGGCGTCGTGGTGACGAATGCGTATGTGTGTGTGTGTGACTACGTTCGCGGATGCCCAGGTCATGTTGCTCATCAGCATCCTTTGTACATCCCAATTCCGACTTGACAAACCTCGTGACGATGGAAATGTGCTTGGCTGTAGCCTTCTGTACCACTATCCATCATACGTAACCCCATCTTTGCTTTTTCGATTTGAGGCTTATTGCATCTGCCCGCAGCGGCCACTCCCATATCGCCCCGGGGAACACCGACTTAGACCCTGCATAAGCGTGGGAAGGACAACACCCACCTGTCCTCTCTCCTTCGGTTTTTCTTCTATTCGCCATCATCTAGTGACGATCCGATTGCAATTACTCCAAGTCTGCAGCCGGATGGCCTGTCCTCTCACTACCTACCCACCATGTCAGAAAAAGAAGCTCACCGACAGTTTTGATCCAGTGAGGCTGAAGCAAGATGCATCGAGGGCCGCTGCCTGCAAAAAGGCTGCGACCGAGGCTGAGACGACACTTGCGGGCCCGCTAATTCTTGCAGCGCACCTCGGATTCCTGCCTACCAGCACGCATATCGGCGGTCAGCCAAACGACTCAGCCCAGCCGTTCGCGATCAGCCTAGCCTAGCTCAACTTCACCTGCCGAATGGGCTAATTGCATGCATTTCAATTGGACATTTACTGCATCTAGTACAGCGGGCCACGGCTTGGAATGGGGGAGGGACCTCTCAGCTGTTGACGTTCCCGGTGCCGGTGAGAACTAGAGGGATTGCATCGCCGTAGACTATCCTTCAGCCGCAATTACGAATGCATCCTATCAGAATAATGATGTGGAGGGTATAAGAAGATTGAGGCTGACCGATTGTGCGACAAACCCATTGTCTCAAGCTTCCCTACTTGCCGTGTGAACAACTTGGTTCTTCTTTAGCGTTCGATCGTTGTTGCACATATACCCCTCGCTGCTTTTTTTTGGTGGCTTACCTACATATACTTACAAGATTAGACATCGCAAGCTCGCCTGCTGTATATCTTGTCTATTATCCCGGTTTCTCGGAGCTTGTAAGGTCGCGTGGTATCTGGATCCTGACTGCAAAAGTCTGAAAGCGGAAATCACGTACGACTGATTGTACCGGTAGTGGAAGGAAGCCCCACACAGAAGAGATTCAGTTCCATGTAAGTACCATTGCATCACGTCTCTTCCTACAACCCTATTCCAATATCTCTCTTCGGCGTTATTGTCGTTTCCTGTGCAATTCGCCAGTCATACACATATCCTCGAGCAAGGAAACCTGAGATATGACCCACCAAAAGGATCGTCGTCTTGCTTCGAGCGAAGGAACAGACCCAGACCTAGAAACGTCACTAACGCAAACATCCAGCACATCCATCAACATGTCCGGTCTAGCTGCAGAGGCGAAAGCGGCATGGGATTCCCATGTTGATACCCGCACAGGAGCTGAGCCTCCCAAACCAGCTGACCCATCCGAACTCAGTACTATGAGAAACGCCATTGGTGGATCTTTCAAAGCAGCGGCAGCTCTGATTGGCGCCGCTGCAGCTCCACTTCCTGACCAAACTGGTGATGGCTCCAAGATCGCGCCAGAAGAGAAGGCCAGTCTTTACAAGAAGATTGAAGGCGGTCTGCGAGACATGTCTCACCTTGGCATCGAGAACATCCAGAGCTTGATGGAGATTCAGAAAGAGAAGATGCTTGGTGGATATACCGATGATAAGACATACCTCATGGAGGGTCTTATCCGGACCGCTGCCGCATTGCCTGACGGGTCAAAGACAAGAGAGGCAGTGACGGGTCAATTTCTGACCCAGCTATGGGGTGACTTGCAGCACCCGCCGCAGTCATATCTTGGGTCGAAGTACCAGTACCGTGCCGCAGATGGATCGAATAACAGTCTAGTAAACCCGCAAGTTGGCGCAGCAGGAACACCATACGCCAGGACAGTCAAGCCAGACATGATGCAGACTCCTGCCCGCCCAGATCCTGGTGTTGTATTCGATAGCATCATGACGAGGAAGCATGCTGAACTGCACCCAAACCGTATTTCAAGTATGCTGTTCTATCTGGCATCCATCATCATCCACGACTGCTTCCGCACAAGTCACGAGGATTACTCGATCTCGATGACATCTTCATATCTCGATTTATCACCATTGTATGGCAGTAACCAGGCCGAACAGGACATGATGAGGACTGGACGCGATGGAAAGATCAAGCCCGACTGCTTCTCGGAAGCAAGACTGTTGTTCTTCCCTCCCGGCGTTGGTGCTATGTTGATCATGTTCAACCGTTTCCACAACTACACGGTCGAGAACCTAGCGGCTATCAACGAGCAAGGACGTTTTACGAAGCCTTCGAATGAAGTACCAAAGTCTACCGGTGACGTCGAAGTCGACAAGAAAACAAAGGAAAAGTATGATGCGGCATGGAAGAAATACGACAATGACTTGTTCCAGACCGGTCGTCTCATTACTTGCGGCCTTTACGTCAACATCATCTTGATCGACTACGTCCGCACCATTCTCGATCTTAACCGGACTGACAGCAACTGGCAGTTGAACCCTCGCGCGGAAGTGAAGGATCTACCCATGGGCATTGGCAACCAAGTCTCTGCTGAGTTTAACCTCGTATACCGATGGCACTCTACAGTCTCTGATCGTGACGAGAAATGGACGCAGGAGATGTGGGACGGTCTCTTCGGTGAAGGTCGCGATCCCAAGACCGTCGGCAAATATGAGTTCCTTGGCCGGTTGAATGAAGTCTACAAGAAGACTGATCCTGATCCCTCGAAACGCAAGTTCGCTGGTCTGGAGCGAGGTGACAACGGCACACTACCCGACCAAGGTCTGGTAGACATCTTGACATCGAGCATAGAAGACTGTGCCAACTCTTTTGGACCGAATAGAGTCCCTGCTGTCTTCCGCGCTATTGAAGTCCTAGGTATCGAACAAGCCCGTACCTGGAATCTGGGATCGCTCAACGAGTTCCGGAAGTACTTCAAGCTAGAGCCGCATAACACTTTCGAAGACATCACGTCAGACAAATATGTGCAAGAACAACTCAAGCACCTCTACGATCACCCCGACAAGGTTGAGATCTACCCGGGTATCGTCGTCGAGGACGCAAAGAAGCCCATGGCTCCTGGTTCGGGTCTCTGCCCTTCGTACACCGTCTCCCGTGCTGTTTTGTCGGACGCCGTTGCGCTGGTTCGTGGCGACAGATTCTACACGCATGACTACAACCCACGCACCTTGACCAATTGGGGCTACCGTCAAGCTGAAAGCGATCTCGGCGTCGACAACGGATGTGTGTTCTACAAGCTCTTCCTCCGCGCTTTCCCACAGCACTTCAAGTACAACAGCGTCTACGCCCACTACCCATTGACTATCCCGTCCGCCATGCAGACTGCTCTGAAAGACTTGAAGAAAGACAATCTGTACGACTTCAGCAAGCCAGTAGCGACACCACACCCTCAATTCGTCAAAGAGTACAAGCTGGCCACCGACATCATGAAGGACCAAGCAACTTTCAAAGTCGTCTGGGGCAAAGCCATGGAATACATCATGGGCCCCGCATCCGCCGACTTCATGCTTGCCGGCGACGGGCCCAAGAACACTGCCTCCCGTCAAATGGTCAGCAAGGCACTCTACATCTCTGAATGGGACAAGGAAGTACGGAACTACTACACTCTCAAGACGCGAGAACTGTTGAAGGAAAAGAGCGCCAAAATCGCCGACTTCAACCAAGTCGACATCATCCGCTCTGTCGGAAACCTTGCGCATGTCCACTTCTGTTCTGAGCTCTTCATGCTGCCTTTGAAGACCGCCGCACAACCCCACGGTATCTTCACGGAGGCCGAACTCTACCTCATCATGTCTTCGGTCTTCGCGCTCATCTTCTTCGACGCAGACCCTGCTTCTTCTTTCCCTTTGCATGTCAAAGCAAGAAAGGCAACGCAGCTACTCGGTAACATCGTCGAGAAGAATGTCAAGGCGATTGCAAGTTCGGGCTTCTTGAGCAGTATCATGGCCACCATCTGGCCGCAGGAATCCGTGCTGAAGAGCTATGGCAAGCATATGATTAAGCGATTGTTAGAGAGTGGAATGTCGCCGGAGACCTTGACTTGGGGCCATATCCTCGGCACGGCGGGAGGCATGGTATCGAACCAGGGTCAACTCTTCGCTCAGACAATCGAATACTTCCTCCTCGGCGCCGGCAAGAAACATTGGGCCGAGATCTCGAGGTTGGCTCAAGATGACAGCGAGGAGTCGTTTGAGAAGTTGATGCACTACACCATGGAGGGCGGAAGGTTGAACGGCGAAACAGGCGTCATCCGCGCCGTTGCCAAACCAACCTCCATCACCGAGGCTGGAAAGACGACAGATCTCAAGCCCGGCGACGCCGTCTTTGTAAATCTGCGCACCGCCTCTCACGACTCTACCATCTTCCCTAACCCTGATGAAGTCGACATCACCCGCCCGCTGGATTCCTACATTCACCTCGGATACGGACCGCACCAGTGTCTCGGACTGCCAATGACGCGCATCACGCTCACGACGATGCTGCGAGAAGTTGCGCGCCTGAAGAATTTGAGGCCGGCACTGGGTCCGCAGGGCAAGATTCACAAGGTGGAGAAGAAGATGGGTCCGGGCGAGGAGAAGTATAGCTATCATGCTTATTTGACGGAGAATCAGGATATGTACTTTCCGTTCCCTTGTGGTAAGTCAATTTTTTTGAACTCCAGTACTCCGTTTGTACTTGGTTGATATGACATGTGCTAACTTGATGTGTAGCGCTGAAGGTATGCTGGGATGACTAGATGTTTTGGGATTATGGGGTTTGAATGCGAGGGGTACGATCACAATTCGTAGTGTACAAAGGGTTTTCTAGACGCTAAAGGATGTTCAAGGAGCATGGGAGTGTACTATGGCTTTCGTTTCGGTCATGTCCTTGTTAGCAATCATATTGGATACCTGCCGGGCGTTTTGGTATCGTGGATAACAGAATGAAAGAAATGGGTGTATGCCAATGATGAGTCAGGACCTGGACAGCCAATGAACGATCCATTTGAAGCTTCCAAGATAGAATAAACAGAGCTCGCCAGGCCTGAGCGCAAAGACTAAAAGCCACATCGAGCAAGGCTCCATGCACCTTTGTCATCCTCTATGTCCAGATACACCTAGCATGTCCTCACAAGCCAAAGCTGACTCGTCCGTACCAATTGACTTGTTGAACCCCTGCAAGTTGAATACATTACCATTGGTGAATCACTGGCTCGTTCGAGCCCGAAGCTTACGCAAGTCTAATGCGGAAGACGAAGAAAAAGAGGACTTACCTGTGAGTAGATCCAGATCAACAGCCAGGCTCGAGGACTGATCCTGGATGAAGGTCTCGCGATCGCGTGCAGGCTGCACAGGTTGAGTAAAAGCTTCGGTATCGTCGTCTTCGTCATAGTCCTCGTCCCCTTCGTCGTAATCTTCATCTACGTCTCCATCCTCATCCTCGACCTCAACCTTATCACCAATCCTACTCACCATGACCTCTTCTCCAAGCTCCCTGTCTGTCCCACGGACCATCTCCAGGCTATACGGAAAGTCCCACTGCGTAGCCAGTGTGAGAAGATTATAATAGTAGCACCTACCAGAGCTGACATCCAGATAGGGTATCCAGCCTAGAAGAAGCGGCCGAGCAACTGATTCAGAAGCCGACACTGAAGCCTCTCGGGACGCATAGAGCTCGTCGAGCTCGCTGCGCAATTCACGTAAGACCTTTAATGAGTCGTCGTCCGGCTTCGATATCGCGTCGCGGAAACTGCTGTCGTACTTTTGTTCTGCGTTGAGCCGGTAGAGATCGTTGAGGTCCCAGTCTGCTTGGGCGCGGGCTACGAGAATGCAGTTATTGATGTAGTAGTAAGGAGGAATGGCTGGATCACTACAGAAAAATTAGTATTCGCCTTGGATTTTCCTCTTCATCGTACTTACGTCGTGTTGACCGCAGCACATTTGGCGCCGAGGTCTAGTCCGTGCTGCTTGATGACGTCCAATGTGAGATCGTAGAGCCTGTCGTAAAGATCCGGTGACGGTGAGACATCCATGATGATCAAAATCGACTGTCAGCTGTAAAACCTTTGAAGAAGTAGATGATGGGGAGAGTGGGTGGCTGTAGGTAGGGCAAAAAAACAAAGCGACGTGCGACATAAGATCCAAGTGCCAAGCGTTATTGGAAGTGATCGTGGAATGATGGCTACTGTCAATCCATGGTGAAGTGAACTTGTATGGAGAAGATGATTTCCTCATTGGTTAAGTTCTTTGCCTTGTTCATCGTCCCAGCTCAACATTGATACCTGCACTCTATGTCTTGTGCATGTTCGTCACTGTCATAATTGACCGTGTCATAGAAAGACGACACGCTAAAGGTGAGAAAGGGGCGCCGCGTCCGCTCAAAAAAGGTTGCTGCCGAACACGGCGGTGGTGAGCATCTTAGTACGATCTCTTCATAGGCGGCACGCTCGCCGCCTCCTGCTCATCCAATGTGTTCATATTCACCGCCCTCGTCCCGAACCTGACCTCCGCCCCTACATTACTCTGCCATGTGAGACTATGTTTCATCCACTCCCCGTCATCTCTCTCTTTGAAGTCATCTCTTGCGTGCGCCCCTCTACTCTCCGTCCTTGTCAATGCCGCCTTGCTCGTCTGACTTGCATTGGTAAGAAGATTTCGCAGTTCGAGTGTCTCAATGAGGTCGGAGTTCCAGATCAAGGACCGATCTGTGACGCGTAGGTCGGTGGTGTACTTGTTCTCGATGTCACCGAGTTGGGTGTTGCCTTTGGATAAGGAGTCATGAGTGCGAAACACAGCAGTTGTAGATTGCATGGTGCTTTGCATGGAGTTTCGTAGACTGGATGTTGGCGTGCTGCCGTTGGACTCTAGGAAAGTGTTGATCTCGCTGATAGAATCGAGGCCGATATTGTCAGGAGCTGGGTGATGTGCTTCTGATGGCGAGTGATTGGCAGAGATGTGTAGTGCTGTCGCTCGACCCTAGGGGAATGTCAGCAAATATGACTGGTCAGATATGTTCTGAGTACTTACGAAAACCACGATATCAAGCAAGGAATTTGCTCCTAATCGGTTCGCGCCATGTACGCTTACACAAGCAGCCTCGCCAGCTGCATACAACCCTTCAACAACATCTTCTTTGCCACTCTTCGCATCAACATCGAGTACTTGTCCATGGTAGTTGGTTGGGATGCCGCCCATACAGTAATGTACTGTTGGTAATACGGGTATCGGCTCTCTTGTTATATCGATGCCAGCAAAGATACCAACTGTTTCGGCGATTCCAGGCAACCTTTCCATGATGACGTCCTTTGGTAGATGCGATAGTTGAAGATGTATGTGGTCCTTGTTTGGTCCACAGCCGCGGCCTTCTAGGATCTCGAGGTTCATAGAGCGTGAGACGACATCACGCGACGCGAGATCCTTCGCAGTGGGAGCATATCGTTCCATGAAGCGTTCGCCTTCGCTGTTGAGGAGATAGCCGCCTTCGCCACGAGCGCCTTCCGTGATCAGGACCTAAATTCGTTGTCAGTCCAAGCAAGCTATGCTATCGTCGGTGTTGTGTACGTACGCCTGCACCGTAGATGCCGGAAGGGTGGAACTGCACAAACTCCATGTCTTGTAGCGGTAGCCCTGCTCTCGAGACCATCGCACTGCCATCGCCCGTGCTTGTATGCGCGCTTGTCGCACTGAAGTATGCTCTTCCGTATCCTCCCGTTGCCAGCACCGTATTTTTGGCGAATATCCTATGCGTCGTTCCGTCCTCCATGTTCATAGCCGTTATGCCCACGCACTTGCCCTCGCTCATCATCAAGTCCAGCGCAAACCATTCAATGAAGAACTGCACGCCTTCTTTCAGACTCTGCCCATAGAGTGTATGGAGCATTGCATGCCCAGTGCGATCTGCCGCACATGCCGTTCTATAGGCCTGTCCACCCTTGCCATACTTCAATGACTGTCCACCTAATGCTCGCTGATATATCGTTCCTTCGTTTGTCCGACTAAACGGCATGCCATAGTTCTCGAGTTCAACGACCGCTGGGACCGCTTCGCGCGTCATATAGTGGATAGCGTCCTGATCACCGAGCCAGTCCGACCCTGGCAACAGAATCAGTATATATTTCCTATGTCTTTGGTATACCTTTAACCTCACCCTTTATTGTATCGTACATGTGCCAGCGCCAGTCATCTTCTGTCATGTTGCCGAGCGCGGCATTTATTCCACCCTGTGCTGCGACTGTGTGCGATCGGGTAGGAAAGAGTTTCGACACGCATGCAGTCTTGAGTCCAGCTTCCGTGAGTCCTACGGCAGCTCGAAGGCCTGCACCGCCTGCTCCAACAACAATTGCACTGTAACGGGATCAGCTAGAGGCGTCCTGATAGATCGGAAGCTACTCACTCGTAGTGATGGTCAATGACCGTCAAGTTCTTGACATTTGGCCCATTCACTGAGGCGAAATCCCTCCGCTGTCTTGGGTTAATCGACGGCCGACGAGCACTGTACTGGTAGCGCGAGGCGGCTCGCGCAAAGGCACGCATCATGAGGAGTGATGTACGAGAAAAGGATTCATTGGACGTTAGCTACAAAAAGGAAGGGACTTGTAGATTTCCGGATAGCAGATGCAAGTGTTAGCACCAGCCGCGCTAGCATGTAGCCATTCGGTATACCCCTCTGAGCAGCTCATCCTCGGCTGTATAAGAATCGAAGGCGGAGGTCTAAGATGTAACGCGACTGGGGAACTTCTATGACGAGTAGCGCCAGATGCTATCAACTCCTTCCTCTGGATGTAGGAAGTCGGGTATAATGGTTTTACAGCACGCTTGCGTTGCGACAAGGCGGGTCGCCCAACAAAGCTCGATGGTTTGCGGGGTAGACGACAGTGAAAGCTGGAGACGCCCGACGCGTCGAATGTTCGGCCAGCCAAGCACTCGGAAATAGCGACGCTAGCCAATCGGTGATAATGCATTACGCAAGGCAAGAAACCGACCACTTTCATCGGCTATACGGCCTTCTACTAAGACAAGCTCATCAAAAGTTCTGAGCATGCTGCAATGCATAATATCCCCATAATCTGCACCTTGTGGTGCTTGGCTATGGCAATTTTTATAGTGCTAGAGTGTGCGCCCTTGGATGACGTCACGCGAATACGGGCTATACGTAGCCAGAGCGAGGATGTTATGATTACATACACCCAATCTTGATAAATCGAGAAAAGATCGAATACATGCATACTCTGATGTTCGTTGCTATTTTTTAACAGAATGAACGTAACATTAGTGTGCGTAGACAGCCACCCAGGTTCTGTGGTGGAAAGTCGAGGGCGTAGGAAGGGCTGAAGTGGATGCCACGGATACCTTGAAGCGATGTCTGCTATCTCAGTGTGCTACCGAAAGGCGAATTCTTCAACTCTTTAAGATCCAGGTCGAGGACTTTACTCTCTCGCTTCAGCGAGATACCAGGGACTAACATAACAACGCCTACCCTAATAACCGAGTGGGCAAAAGCCTGCCATGCAGACCAACTTGCCAATTACCCGCCTAACAACGTAGCCACGCAACTCATCGTCATTCTCGACCAGGTCCTCTCTTCTCAAACCTCACCGGCAGCCTCCGCTTCCGTGACGGCAAACCTAGTTCAGTCTGAACACGACATAACCCACGGATTGGCATGCCTAATAGACCTCTTCCTCTTCGCCGCTGCACGAAACACTAGTCTCAACTCACTAGAGCTCCTCGTATCCTACCTCGTCGAACTAGCCAAACAACCCGATGCTATCAACGAAGGCCCCGAGCCCAAGGTATGGGACGAAGGCGGAGGCGTCATGCACGATATACCATCCGGTGCGCCAATCATCATAGAAGGAAAACAGCTATGGAGTGAGTTACCGATGTTAGGTTGGAACATCACGGAATGGTTTCAAGGTATGTCAGATTGAACATTAGTCACTGCTCTCTCATATACAACATGGTGAGTAACTGGAAAGTAGGACCTGAGCTGTGGACTCACAGCCATTGTAATCCAACAACACCAGAGGTTGCGGCGGCTAAATGGAAGGACATAAACAAGCTGATCGCGGTCATCGCACGGAATCCTGACGCCCAGGTTCTACCATCACTCGCCGGTTACATCAATCTCTCTCGTATAACTTTGTCCATGGCACTGGAACATAGTCTCAACACGCGGCTGGGCAAGAACACCGCGATGCATCTACCCGCCGCTGCGTTATGGTTTTCGATCGCGGGTGGGGAGCTAGAGAGGATGTGTGAGGCCGGCGAGCAGAAAATGGCTGCTGGAGATGTTTGGGCAGAAAGAGTAAAGGATAACGGGAGCGGAGACAGTGCGGTGGTTAATATGACCAGATTACAGTTCTGGAAAGAGAGGTTGGCAGAGTTACAGCAGATGTAAAGAGGTTTTACTGTCCCTTACATACTATTACTTAGCTGTGCGCGTGGCTTCGTCTACAGATAGCGGAAAGCTATACCTTCTCCATCAATGCCTAGGCACATACCAAATACTCGCTTCCGCTTTCTTCTGACAATCACTACTAAGTTCAACCTCGCAAGCGGTGCTATTACCATCTAGTTTTCCAATATTTCCCGCTGGTGTTACTGGCGTTAGCGGTGTCTCAGTTACCACAGGTCTTATCCTAACACCTACTCTGCTAAGCTGTGGTCCTAGAGCAGATGTTGCCGAAGCCGTTGCAGTTTCAACACGTGGCTCTAGAGCAGAAGGGGGACTATCCACATTCGTGTTCACAGTAGGCCGATTAGGCCGATCCTTAACACTTCATTTCCTAGACAAACGGCGTTGAGGGAGTTGAATTGGCATGCCGTTGTTGAACAAAGGAATTAGCTGTGTCGCGATGAAGGAATCTTTGCGTCTACTGTTTCTGGGAGGGGATGAGGCGATGGACGCTCCGGTTGTAGAGAAAGACGTCGAACTTGCTCGGCTGAAGGCTGATGAATTTGATAAGTCATCTGTGTACTGGGTACATCTCGAGATTGGACGGCTACCAGTCGGTGATTCAAGAGTGTACTTAGTCGCTAGTGAAACCAGACGGCTGGCAGGCAGTGGCTCGTTGTCGTCGCACTCGAACGAAGTTAGGGGCGAGGGTTGCAAAGTGCTACGAAGGCTCAAGCAGTTCATCTTGGGTGGTTGTAGCTGAGTGCACAACAAGTGAATGTGTGGTAAATTGCTGAATGCCCAGAAAGCGCTCTAGAAGGTGGTTGCCTGCACTTTCACCTTTGCAATCAGCAGGGCATCGAATTCCTTTCAGACAATTCTCGAACTCGCTCCGGGTGTGTTCGAAAGATCTTTGTAGGATATTTCAGCACTTTAAACCATCTGTGAACTGGATCGTTGTCGTGAACCGACCACGTATCTGTAAAGTGAGTGAATAGTACGACTTAGCACAAAGCACAAAACAGTATTTTATCAATTCATCATGCCTTCGGTCTATCAAAGGACTGCCCTCTGCTGACTAGGCAGAGTCACTTGTGAAACAACAACCTTTTTCCACTCTTCCTGGCCCTTTGTAATTTCAGATTTCCTCGCCTCATACTTCTTGGCCCAACTAACAATATCGTACGAATGCTGCAACTTGCTCGCCCAAGTCAGACAACTCCATTTCGAGTCTTCCTCCCATACCGGAAGTATACCGCCGTCCTGACTGACAGTCAATCCGCCTCTGGTACCACAGGTTGTGCACCCGATTGCATTCTTGCCATGCTCAGGCAGGAATTCGATCTTGGAGAGATGACAATGCGGACATGCGCCTACTTCTTCGTCGCCCAGATATCTTGCTTCGTCGTACGGTTTGCCCAATTCACTTGCGAGATTCTGACCCATGCGCCTGGCCCGTGCGATAAGGTCATCGTGTAAACACACTGCTCCGGATAGTCCCAAGTCCTGGCCGATGAATTGATCTACAATCTTGGCATGCAGACCATAAAACAGCAAATGGAGAGTGGGCAGAGCCATGGTGAACTGATCTGGTGTTAAAGATCCTCCCACTGCGATAAAACCCAATACTCGCGGCTTTGTTAGTCGTGGGTCAAGTTTGCCAGGATTGAATGTTTTGCCAAATGTAACGTCAAGGGACGGCCCGCCAATTCGGTCCATAAGGAGCTTTAATGTGCCTGGGGGCTGGTGGCTGTATGTAGGTGTAGAAACAATGATTGCATCAGCGTCCAGGATAGCTTCGCGGACGGCAGCTCGATCGTCGGGCGCATTGTTAGAGGCGGCATTGACCTTTGAAGCAAGGTCGAAGCCAACAGGGCTATCCAGAGGTGCTGGATTTGTCGGTATGGAGATGGAGGGAACATGTATCCATGACGTTGTAATGGTAGAGTCAGACTCGGTAGCTGCTGTCAAGGCAGCTTTGAGTAGGATCTCTGAGTTTCCAGACGGTGTGCCGTTTACGAGACCGAGTATATGCATTGTCCGGTTTGCTGGTTCTAGTCATATAAGTCGACACAAATGCTTGTTATTGACCATTGGTATATATGTACTGAGAATTGAGAGAGGCCGCTGACATACCTGGGACGCGCGGTCCAGATCTATGTCCGGTTCCGGAATGTGGAGGAAATGTGGTGGGGAAATCCGACCCTGGCCTACTGATCTTCGTTATCGGCCCTGTTGCTGCAAATTAAGTTAAAGACACCGGGCAGCGTGGAGAAGACGAAAGGCACGATGTCTAAACTCTTTCCAAATGCTCCATTGGATACAGTACATTATTGTGCACTAACAGTTGCTTGACCAAAATGTCAAAAGACTGGCTAATACCAGTCGAGATTAGAGTAACAGTAATAGCAACGCTCACCCAGGTATTGAACGCCGTCCATATGCAAACGCCAGCGGCTATCCATCCGTCCAGGCCATGCAATCGCGTCCTCATAAACCATAAATCCATAATCATAATACATTGATGTCGTGTCAGTTGCGCCATTCCCATGCCAAAACTCCAATTAAGTCCAACTTTTTCATACCGCGCTTATCGTTGCATATACATGCCAGTCGTAACCATGACGTTGCCGTAACGCTCGTTAGCGCGCCACAAGTACTTGAGGAAAACAATAGCTTTCAGGTAAGCTTTCATAATTCGCCTTCGTCGCGCCCGGTCGGCTTCAAGGATGCTGCGCAGTGCCTTTGATACCGCGAAAGGCGATGCGACTCTTCGAGAAGGCGACTGAATGATTGCCGGCCAGGATGACGCTCGGGTAAGCGTGGGTGGGCACATGCTCGACGCCTCGGGTAAGAAAACATCTGGTGTCTCTGGCGCGTCGTTTAGTGAGACAGGACCGAATTTCGCGTCGAGAGCTTCGTATTCGAAGACTTCTGGAATGCTTCCGAGCGTAGGTGAAAAGGCAGACGATCGCGGAGTGCCGGGCTGGTGTGACATGTCGGTGGTAGATTTTTCTTTTGGCATTTGGTGTCCTTTCCGTGGTGGTGGTGAGGGACGGACAGTCTTCTGCTTGGGTGCGCGTGGTGAGAGAGGAATGGAGGCAGTTGGGGTAGATGGCCAGAGCGGAACCGAGAAACGCCTAAAAATTGAACCCGTTTGTTTTGCTGATCCGTGATTGAGAAGAGCGTCGCATCGTGGCGGTGAAAACAGCAGCATGTCGAACAGTGAGTACGTGTGACGCGCGGAACGAGTCTTACACGACGAGGCTGAAATCAGGGATGAAGACTGGGAAAACGAAGGAAAGCAGCGAGATGGCGGCAATGTGTAATAAGGCTGGTTCACCAAATTGTTAGTCGCGTATATAAACAGCAGATCCCCGTATCTGCAGGACGGGAAGGGCACTAGGCAATGGGGCCCAATGATATTAGCATACTGGTGACGGTGATCGTGTGGACAAACGCGTTTGTTTTCGAGACAACACACTGGCAAGCCGCCTTCCCGCTGTCACACGAGCTGACGACGCGCTGACTCTGAGTGAGGTTGTCAGTCGAAACTGCTTGATACTCTTGGGTGCTTTGGAAAGCGTTCAATTTTACCCCGCGGCGGCATTGTGCGATTGTTAAAGAGGAATGACGTCGCTATGGAAAAGTTTTGGATCGAGAGATCGAGAACTCACATCAACCGGCGCAGAAGCCGCCAACGGTAACGCTAGCGCCTAGCCCAATCACATGCCACACACCCCTTCCCGTCCCCAGTTCCTTCACACCACCATTCACTGCTGTTACACATGGCTCGGGGTGATACGCCCTGCTGTGTAGCCGCCTGATGCAGCAAATCGCAGATTGAACGTGCATAGCTTTTCCTACGTCACCGGGTAAGAAGAGCCTTGACATGTCGCTGTCGCTGTCGCTGTCTGGGCAGCTTACATGTACGCCGCGGACGCTGTTTCCCTGGCCAGCTCCTCACCGATGAGAGCATGTGCTGGCTTTTGCACGTTTCAAGAGAGATGCAATAGGGAAGATTCGCGACAAGCAATCAGCCATCGCACTCTGCGCTCAAATCTATGGAGAAAGAACTGTAGACCCTTGTAGGGTCGGTCGTACCTAACCGCCTATTTGGGATGCGGAGAAGCTATAGCTATACAGCCCCGAGCTCCTCATCCCACTTGTTGGCCACTTTCACTTTCTGGCTCACGACGAAGTCCCTCATCTTTATTCTCCTACGCTGACGCTCTTGAATCTACCGAAACGACGGGTTAAAAGTAAAAACCGGCGGCATGACGTACACCAGGAAGCAGGTCGTGACCTGCCTCAGTGTGCTAGTAAGTCCCACATCGCGATGCCAGCCTTGCACGTGCACCGATTAACAATGTCCAGTATCTTGTAATTGCGACGGCACTCGCAGGGTAATAAACACCATGTTAACCGACGATGCTAGGCCCGCGCTAACAGTTCTCCACTAGCTACGCTGCCTCCCGCGCGAACGCTCGTTCTGTGCCCATCTCCGACACGTTGACCGGCTTCACTACGGCTCTACCCATCGTCTCAGGCCTCCTGCTAGAATGCGGCTATGACTTTACGCGACGACAGGAACGTCGCCAGCACTTGAGTCGTGGCGAGATTCAGCGCCCGCCGCTCGTCATCATCGCAAACACGCTCATCTTCATCTACTCCACCGTCGTGATCACCCTTGCGGGCACGCATGCTGCGCCGCCTTCTGGCCTAGATTGCGGGTTGCATGAGCGCTGGCAAACGCTCTTCAGGAAGAAGGATGCGAGTGCCATCCGCCAGATTCAGGATGCCTTTGAATGCTGCGGCTTCGCAAATTCGCGCGACATGGCATGGCCGTTTCCAGACAAAACACACAACGCAGACGCATGCAAGGGTACATATCATGGCAGGATGGACGGATGCCTGAGAGCCTGGAAGGCTGAAGAGCAGGTCATCGCCGGCATGCTCATGGTCGTTGTCGGCATGGTCTTCATCTGGCAGGTTAGTCGTGGTGTCTGCAGCGCTGCGGGAAGCCAATACTGACATCTTCTCCTAGTTCGCCATCATCGCCATTCCTACGCAGAAAGAGTCGTGGCTGCATCGCATTGCACCCGAACGCATCTCCCGCATGATCGCTGACGAGCGACACGGCGACGCTGAACCGAGACGTGCCATCGACTTCATCCCGGGTTACAGCAGCAACCGCTATTCCGACCGCATCGAGGAGGAGACTGAAGAGGCCACCGAAGACGGCCGGGATAACGTACGTGCGATCGAAGAGGGCAATCGTCGCCTTGACGGCGCCTTGCCGGGACACATTGGCAGCGATCTGCAGCCTAGTGTTGAGAACGAGTGGGCGAGGAATTAGGGACTTGCGTCTACACAGGAGATGGTGGGATGCGCCCGCGGTCGAGATACTGGAGGAATGACGTTGCGAATAAGTCATTTGCGTACGCTTCTGAATGACTTGTGGTTTCGCGCATCCCCACAAAGATCGTCTCGTAACGGCGCAGACTCCAATGGCTATATTGCAAACCGGCACTACGGAGGACTGATCCTTTCCGGACTGCTCAATGAGTACTGCATAGGCTGAACAGTGTGCATGCTGGCTTCCCAGCACAGTTAGCAGTGAGGCTACACGGCATAGGAAGTCTGAGATCGCATTCACTCGCTTCTTGTATCTCCCATGCATTATGGACAAGGCAGATACATATTCTTGAGCAAGCAAGACAACGCAATGTTCCAAATGACACAACCACTGGTGAGATTGTCTCGTGCACTGTTAGCTTTCAGTATATATGTTTGTCCACGTCAACCAACAATGCATTCTAACATTAGTCTCACTATATACTCAAGACTCAACACAGCACTGTTCTCTTACGGTATAACAGGCACTATAGACTCACGATACTGGGACTACTGACTACAAAAAACCAACTCTCTGACTAGCAGACTTCCTTCTCATCACACTCATTCCTGCGAACGTACATTCGATCTACTGACGAATTACCATTACTATAATCAACACTACAGCAATGACGGACATGTCTTCCTCCTCCACTTCCAATTTCTCAGCACCTAGACGTGTCCCTACCACTACATTCGACACCATCCTCCCACCTGAAAAGATCATCACCTGGGAGCAGGAGGACGCGGCCGCAAAGAAGAAGCGCTCCTCTACGGAGCTTGCAGCCAAGGCAAAGTCAAAGGTTGGTACTACCATGAAGTCAGCCTTGAGCAAGGCTGATCAAGTGAAGAACGTGGTGAGCAAGGCAAGGGCGAAGCGGGAGACGGACAAGCAGATCAGGAAGGCTGAGAAGGAACATCAGAAGGCAACCCGCTGACGAGAAGGAGTTCGAGATGAGTGACGAGGGTGGGGACAGGCATATGGAGGAGATGCGGAGTAATGAGATCTGTACAACCCACGCAGCGCGAAGTAGATGCCTATCAGTGATTCATTGTTCCTGTCGTTCGCCTATATCGATCTCATGCCTTGAATAGCTAATACAATGACCCAAGTCTATTACCCGTCAGATAATCATGTGAAATTTCCTCTTCGCTAAGACTGCTGACTCGTCTTCTTTCTCATTGGCAACACCCTTTGAGAGTGCTTTCCATGATGGATCGTAGCCCAGAAGGTCACCGAGGTAGCTTTGCCAAACGACTCCTTGACGGGAATTATTTGCAGCTCCAGGTTGAGGCGTTCCCTGAGCAGGAGTAGGCATTGCGCACAATGTTTCGAGATCCATGAGCTCCTGTTCGGCGCGTGAGAATTTCCCCACAGGCGACTCTGTGTGAGATTGATCGGCGCTATCGACCTCCAGTCTCCCCTCGTGGGTTGAAGAATGGCTTGTACTAGGCTCACACTGAGAGTTTTCACGGCGCTCTGGAAGATTCACGTCCGGTTGGGAAGTAGCTGATACCTCTGACTCCCTACCAGCTCGTTCGGCTACCTCTTCGATGACTGTCTCCGCAGGCTTTATTTCGAACGACGGATTCTTCGAGAGTCGCTCCAGATCGCTACCATAACTGCCAGGCTCAAGCTCTGGTGGTGCGAAATATGGCTCTCCACCCGATACATTCTCTTTCTCTTGATCTTCTTCCCCATGTCTTCCTTCCTTGGATCCTACTTCCTCGGCTTTCTTATATTCGTGGATGATGGCTGTCTCGACTAGCTCATCTTCGACTTGCTTGCTGTGAACAGGTTCTTCGCTTATTGGTCTACTGTCGACTGGCTCATCCTCAAATAGCTTTCGTTCGACTGAGCCATTGTTGACTGGTGGTGCCACTCGGTCAATCAGTCGATTGAGCATTTCGAGTTCGCTATTGGCTGGTTTGGCATCACCCTTGCCCATCTGTTGACTAGAATCAGACCTGGCAGCACTTTCTTCCTTTTCGGCTGCTTCTCCTCCCAGTTCCTCCTGCTGTCCAACTGATTGTTTCGCAGAATCCGACTTTTGCTCTTTCCCGGCTCTCATCTTCTTCTCTTCAACCTTCTTCGTTTCCTCTTCAGTCGCGTGCGGTAATCCAGTCGCTACAGGCTTAGCAGCGGATTCAGTAGCAGCAACCTCTACATGCGTTCCAACACTATCTTTCGGCCCAGAAGACTCATCGCCGGGAAGAGAGCTACCAGATAGAGTTGCATCGCATCCATGTTTCCACGGGGCATGTATCCCAGCAGAATCACCACGCCCCTCGGCTAGCATCTCTAAACTTCCGCTCACAGAAGCGAACGGCTGGTTGTGCTCACTCAGCGCCGCCACCAGCATCGCAGCTTCTTGTCGCTCCAACTCAGCTCTTCTAAGCACAAACTCTTTCTTGATCTCAGCCAATTTGTGATCCAGTAATTGCTTATTGTGCAAGAGCTTTTGTAAGGCATCCTCGGTCCTTTTCCGCATGTTGAGTATCATTTTGCTACATTCGTTGTCTTGTAGCAGCCGTGCCAGCAGCATAGCGGCAGTCATTCGCTGCAAAAGATTGCTAGAAGAAAGGCGGACTCGATGAACGGCATCATGCCGTAGCTGAGTAACCCAGTCCATGAGACTGGGTAAAGGCTTTCCAATATTCTTTACGGTATCTGGATTGAATACGTGTTGGCAGTTGAGCAGGACTTTCGACCATTGATTGAGTTCGCCTGCTTCTGCGCAATCCCACCCTTTGCTCTGCAGAATATAGCTCAGTCTTTCCTGTGCAAAAGTAAAACATGCTTTCTCGAGAGCGTATTGTATCTTAGCGAGGAGTCGGTGCTGATCCCAGAGCGGTAGGGATATCGAATCAAACGGTTGGTTTTGAGAACCTGCTCCGGTTAGATACATCCATTGAACCAGGAAGTTCTCAAAACAAGCATACTGGTCTCGGTCTTGTCACTACCCTGACTGGTCTTTATCTCGTCTCTGATGCCCAGAAGTCTTTCAGGGCTATAAGTCCCTGCGCTTTGTACGGTCGCCGCACTGCTTGCCATAGCTTTGGGTCCAGTAGGGATAGATGGATTAGACTGGTTGGCTAGAGGAGCTTTGAAAACTTCTGGAAAGCGTGTTTGGGCCTTCGCGACTGATTGGAAGACTTGGTCATCCATCAGTGCTTTTGCTATGTTGGCAATGCTGTCAACTCCATAGTCCCGGACCAAACTTCTGAGTCTGACATCGTCCCTATACTTCTCGACTTTCTTGCGAATCGTCTTCAGTGTGCTAGGCGGGACTGGGTCTGCATCGAAAATATCCTTGAGAGCCAGGTAGACAAGCTTTTGCGGGTGCGATGTATTAGCCATGATTTATGACCTGTATTTGCAGATGAGCACGAACAAGAGGTGGTAGATTGTTGATCGCTGTTCGAACTTCTGAGGCTATATGTAGAGGTGCCTTGACAACTGCGCCTCATTAGTGCCTGGGTGTTTGATACAGTCGCTGAGCTGGATACCCACCCCGCACCCGAGCATAATGTCCAATGAATGGCTGTGCTAAGTTAACGCCTAGACTTTGAGGAACCGACGTGGCTTTCAGGCATGGAAAACTCAACATGGATGTGTCGCAGTGCAGTCTAGATCGAGGTTCGACATTTCGCGCACATCAACTTGACAAGAACTTCACAAATGGCTATCTCCCAGAGAACTACGCTGATCGCGCTTCAATCCCATGTCCGCGCGGGTCTATTGCGTCGCATTGATCCATCGCAGTCATGCTCTAATGGTGTTAGGAAGAAAGTAGGTGCGGGTGCGGGCCGGCGGCAAGAGCCCTGCTGATCCCCAAAAGGCGCCGCTTCAGCCCCCAATTTTGGCGCCCCCTCACCTGATGCGACCTCATGACACTGAACAACACAACGCGATAATCGCAAAGCGAACAGCACAACCGTGTTCGCTCATTACTTATCTCATAAGTCGCGCATCGTGGTAATAAAGGAGCAGGATGAGGTACATCTTGAAGTCTTGTTTATCGGTATACATATTCTCTTGCATGATCCGGTATCGCACCGCCACAAAGCAGAGCCCAGCGCCTACATAGCCACCCAATTGATGTCACCGATTCCTACGCCGCGACGAACGTCGAGCTATCCCAGCCATAGACCTTCTTCAAGCGCCGGGAGTAGATCAGAAGAAGTCGTCCCTCAATGCTAGCTTGATGTGGCCGATGAAGTGTTATGTCCCTGCGTACCGACATCTTCGCTGAAGGGACGAACGTGTATATAGAGCCGACTTTCGGATCGATTGAGAATCCCAGATCAATCATAGCGGCTACGAAGGCTTCCCATCGCACCGGGCTACGAGCTGCGGATGACCTTGAGAACAGTGATGAGAAGACCTCAGCAGTTGAGGTCTTGACTTCGAAGGTGTCTTTCGATTGAACCGGCTGGTCATCCTTCGTGGCTTGCGGCGTAATTTCGTAAATCGAAGATTGCGCTGGTCGTGTCTTTTCCTTTTGTTTGCGCTGTTGGATAGCTGATACCGAAGCCTCTGGAGCTGTCGGCGTGGTGTACTCAGCCTGAGGCTTACTAGCTTTTGTCTTTTGTTGTTCATACTGTTGCTCGATGCTGGACATACAGCTCTCGACTAAATCCTGGTAGAGGAAACCAAGCTTCGTACCTGTCTTCTCTACAATATACTGGTCGAGAGTTGAGAGGGCACCTTCAGCCATGCCTGGCTCTAGTAGATTGTCGATTGGAATAGCATAGTCGCCAAGGTCTACACCGTCCTTTAATTGTCTCAGCTCCTTATCCAACAAAGCATAACCTGGCACGAATGGCTGACTCTTCTTATGATTGGGTGCGGGTAGTTGCGTGACTGAAGAGAGAGACTGGATGAAGGTCACGATGATGGCCAAATCTCCTAGCGAGTCATACTCTCGTTCCGAAAGGTTATCTTGTTCTAGTGGGTGGGCGCGATGGAGGTCCTCCAACTTTTGGAGCCATTGTGTAGCGGTCGACCAGTTTGTTTCATCTTGGCAGAGTCGAAGCATACAATGCAACTGCGGGTTCTCTACCGTCAGAGACTCGGGGCTCCGCTTCAGTGAGAGACGCGCGATGTCATTGGTCGACATCCGCTTGAACCACTTGCTGCCACCCATGCCGACGGCTACGCTTCGTTTGAAACTAGTCTGAGCGCGCAGGTACTCTAGGTGGCAAGTATTTGAAAGCTCTTTGACGACGATGGCTTTGTATTGTTTATCCGACGAGTCCTTGAACAGGTCCAAGAGACGGCCAATGTAATCCCATGTGGCAGCCGCCTTGACAGCGCCATGAACCGCGTCGAATACAGAACCGCTGATATACTTGTCCGTATGTACAGGCAGTATTCGCCCCTTCTCGTCGGCAACAAGTTCTGGTCTACTGAAGAAGCAAAAGTTGACTTCATGAGCTAGGACGGTGGGCTCTGTAGAGATCAGGTTGACAAGGTCCTCACGGGATGATACTTGGTCCTGCACAATGTCCGAAAGGTCTGGAAGCTCTAGTTTCTTCGAAGGTGCGTGTATCGACAGCTTCGCGAGAGCTGCGGTCGCTTCATCAGTTGGCTTCTTCGGGCGCTTCGCCTGGGTTCTCGTGGTGGATGCAGTATCGAGGATGTCTTCGATGGCGATGTTCAGGAGCTGCAATAGGTTCATCTGTCGCATAAGAATGAGTTCTCCGGTAGCTTGAGGGACTATCATCTGGGCTTGTATAGCTGGCTTCATGTTTGCCAGAACTTCTTCCCGCTTCTCCGCGACGATCTTGACCGATTCGCCGTATCCATCCTCTGTCAAGAAGAGTGTGTAACAGTTCTTGTATTGGGAGGCGTTGTTGAGTTTCAAGTTCTTCCTCTTCATCATATCAACTATATGCGCATGATCTCCCGGCCTTCCATTGAAGCCAGTCGTAT